GAAGGAAGGAAGGAAGGAAGGAAGGAAGGAAGGAAGGAAGGAAGGAAGGAAGGAAGGAAGGAAGGAAGGAAGGAAGGAAGGAAGGAAGGAAGGAAAGAAAATTCATTGCTCAGGGAAGATCTTTTTAGACAGGACAGATCAATAATCTGGGGTTTTTTTTTTGCTAAACGAGGGATTTTTTTAATAAATATGAGGTTTCATGGTTTGCAGAGATACCTAAGTACAGTATGCATTTTGATAATGCACTTTCCTCATAGTTTCTGCTACTTATTCCATTTGTCTATTCCAGTTTCTTCTGCATTCGAAGTATATTACCATGCACTGTTGTTAGACAAGGAATCATCCTCAAAATGGCTGGTCCTTCAAAACGTAGGAAATTGGTTATTGTGTCAGCCGGTATAACTCTACTCATCTCCATAATTTCCCTGTGCTATGTATCGGACACTTTGCAAAATTTAGGATCTGGATCTACACAACATGGAGTTCAAGCATTTTAAGTGTATGTATTTATTATTCTTAACATTTTTCCTCTCTGCTTTTTAGGGAGTAAATCTTTACGCAGTGATGGAAGCTGGGAATTTCATCTGTACAGCTTTGAACAAGAAAACAAACTCAAAGGTTGCACAAGCTTCCTTCAAATATTGAAAGTGTCAATTAAATGAAATATTTTTACAAATTAATTTAATTTGTCACCTACTTTTACCAAGGACATTTATATTAAGAAAACAAATTCAAGAAAACATCTCAGTAGAAAACCAAAACAGCCCAGATGTAACATCTTATTATGGGAAAGTTTGCTGTACTCTAGTGTCTTGTCAAGCATTGTCTGATTTGCAAGTAAGAAATAAATGACTGCACTACAGAACCATATGCTTGGTACTTCTACAAATGAGAAAATGTATACTGTCAGGACATTTTGCCGTATATTTAAATTAAATGTAAGGGGTTTTTTTTTGAAAAAATGGTTAGAAACAGAGAATAAATAGTTATCTTTTGTCAAGATGACTTTAGAACAGTACAAATATTTGCAGTAGTTTATGAGATCCCACATTCTGTGTGGCCTTTCTATTATGTGTTTTATTTATTTGGACCTATGCTTTTCATTTGTCAAATCAGTCATGTTGTGAACATGGAGCCAAATCTGAATTCAGCGTAAGAAAATTTTAGCAATAGCACTTTTATACTTTTATTTTGTTTAACATATGTTAAATATATGGATGACTTTATCTTGTACTAGGACTTCATGGTGAACGGCAGCCTGCCAGATCTGCCAAATCTAATGCCAATATCSTTATTTGTTACATGTGTTAAATTTGTTGTAGTTGCCTTTTCCATCAACTGTGTTAAAATCTGATTGTATGAAGCAACTAAAAAATGGCAAGGTTTCAGTCATCATTCAGCATAGCAGTAATGTAGAATAGACTAGATTTTTGTCCAAAATCTTATCAAACATTTTGACTTTTCATTTTATAATCTCGCTTATTATAAATTGTGAATTTTTGAACACGATAATACTCTGCAGGCCTGTTTACACAGTGAGAACTACCAACAGTTTTTCTCTGTGGTCTTCTTATGATGGAGCTGCTGTACTTTTAAATGTCTTAGTTTGGGTTGATGGTAGTGGAAAGCTTGTCATTTAAATATCAATAATGGAAAAAGACAAAAAAAAAAGTCATCATCTCTATAAACTGTTCAAATACTGCATGAAAAAACTTTTATTTTTCAACCTGAAAAGTCAGTACTGTTGTTGATTGATTGTGTTTTATCCTTCAGTAATTCCCTGTGTGCTTAACCCTAATCTGTAGTTCTTCTGAAAATAATCTGTTAACATAGAAGTCCAAAACCAAGGACTATTATCTCTTTCCACATATTCCGTTTTCCTGTGAAATAAAGTTTGGAAAAGGTAAGATGAAAGAAAATGAAAGAGAACATGTAAAGAAGGAAAAGGTTGAATGATAATTGTCTGGAACTCAGTTCTGCCAAGCTATAGCTGAGTCTTAGCTTGCCTTTGAAATTCCCCAGTGAACCTTTCCTGAAATCTTTTAGCCAATGTTGTAGTTTAGAATCAGCACAGTTTAAGAAATTCAAACTTGGCATGCTGCGCAATTTAAAGCTAGAAGTTTTAATATATTCCCTATTTATGCTGAAAAACAAGTGAAATAGTGAAAAACAATCTAACCTACATTGCTTCACTCTTCTCATGGTAAGAGCTAAAGACTAAGCAAAGAGTTCCTTCTTAGAACGAAAAGGAAATATCTTGTCTATCAACCCAAAATGTTAAATCTCACCCCTTCTTGAAACATCTAATAAAAAGACTTATAAGGTCTCTGAAAAAAACATGAAGACCCTGAGTTGCTTCATCTGCTCTGGATGCATAGCTGGATCATCACAGAAAATGCTCCACCCTTGCTTTCCCAAGATTTAATAGGTCTTTTTGATTTAGCAGTCACTATGGTCCTTCTATAAAATGTGAAGTTCAGTGTAGCTGGGTCTTGAGCTATCCATAGATTTGAAAATTTTGTGATAGATTAAATTCAATAAAGTGAAGAATCCACAGCATTACTTAGCCCAGTGGTTAGTAGACAGGCCTAAATGAGATGCCAGAATTGGTATCTAAAAACTCTCTAATTCAGATGCCGTTTTCCCCTGAAGGTGTCTGACCTCACAATAACACTCCTCTTTGTAATTTCTTCATCAGTTTGCTTCTGTGCACCCAAAATTAGTTCATACTGAACTGAAGTATCCATTGCACTGGTGAGGCCTGAGGAGTGTTTTTCCAGCCAAGAACTTATGAGTTTGTTTATCCCACATGAGCAGGATTGAGCTTAATAAATATTGGTTTTCTTAGAAAAATAAGTAGTGCAACCTACCTTGTAAATATTAGCCTGATTATTCAACTAAACAATTGAAGATCTGAGATCAGCTTGAGGGAGTTTAAACATACATTTTTTGGTACTATAATGGATCCAACCACTATGTAATATACAGAATTGGAAAAAAAAAAAGCACTTAAGCACTTTCTAATAAATCTGGATAAATTTGTGCCACTATGTAGGGCTGAAATAAACTGATATTGTCTGCTTTTTTTAGTAAATATTATAACTGCAGCATTTTCTGTAAAAGTGACTTTTGCACTACCACCCAACTTCTGCTTTGGAATAGAGAATCCGTTTGAGACTCCTTTGAGAGAGGAGTTCTAGATGACTGTATATGAACTTACTGTCTTTGGCTCTAGGGGACCCTTAATCTCTGGAGAAGTTTTCAGATGTATCTCTGTGAATACTACTATATCATAGCCTTCTCTGTGTCTGGACTGTCCAGTTTACATTTCTAAAAGACTTGATTCTCCATATGCTCTGAAACTGGATGCCTACTTCATCATTGAGATGAACAGCTTGAAATGCCTCAGTTATTGAGTCTATTCTAGAAACTACTTGGGAGTTTGTGAAGATTTAGGTTCAATTCTGTTATTAGATAATGATGTGAGCAGTGGAAAAGATGAGCAGTCACATCTGGATCCTGTACTTTACAATCACATTCAGCTTAAACCTCATAGTGAGTTACTGTAATTCAGGGTGGAGGTCACAGACAGTTTGTCAAGATCATTACAAAGGAGGAAGAAACATAGAGCCAAATTCAAAAATACATTTATGTGCCAAAAGTGCCACCTGGGATGAATTTAGTCTGTGGGTCCAGGTGAGCAATCTCCACAAAAACCTTCTCTACTTGTAATGTAGCTAAAAATCACTAGACATCTCATGTTGTCACTACTAAAGATTGTTAGGCACATAAAGTTCTACCTCTGCCTTCTCGGAGCAATGTTGTTCACCTTTTTAAGCATCATAACGCCTCATCTTTGGCTTTACAAAGTAGACATATATTATCCTTTAGATCTAAATCCAGCAGTTGTGCCATGAGTGTGCACTATGCACATAGGCAGCAAGGAGTTAAGCACACAGCAAAGCAGCTGAGACTACGTCTATTCAAAAGTATGGTCAGAGCCATGACTGATGTGATGGTGCCACTGCTCTCCAGTGCTTCTGACCTTTTAAATCTCTGTGTTTACCTTCAGTGTGACACGCAGGGAGTAGTTCCTGGTCTCGTAGTCCCTCTCAGTTACTTCATCCTGAAGGTGAGCTTTAATTTCCTCTGACCGCAGAAGACTTGCATGTAGGTGTTTCACTTCCATAAGCAGATGTCCTTATTACTATGTCATTATAAGAATGTAAAAAATTACATATATATATGTTGATAGATATCAGGAAAAATTAATAGAGATGAGTGTCATGATCACACCGTGATCACAATTTGGGGACAGGATACCTGCTGATATATTTTGCTGTTGGTCTCATATACATGCTGTAAAGGGAATAGCATAGATTCTGACAGCATGCAGAGACTCTACCAGCCTGCAGACATGAGAAAGCATAGTCAYTGATTGMCTCTGAGTCCTATCAGTGAGAAATTATTAGATGCAAGAAGATATTTACCTCARTGTTTTTTGTTTTGTTTTGTTTTTAGTATCGTATAGTTCATTGTATCTAAGTCRCTATAGAGATCTAACAGAACAGCATGGAGATCCTCTTACTTGTGTCATGGCTGTGGAGAAAGTAAGTTATGGTTGCCAGAGGAGGCTTTGGTCTGAACCTGTGAAGCATCCACAACAGACCAATGTCACATATTACAGGAACATTAATACTTTCACAGTATTTTTTTCCCATGCTGTTGGCAATAGCTAGAAAGTCAAATACCGATTTCTTTGGCTGAGCAAGATATTTAGTTTTCAAAAGGCTTTTTTTGAGGAGAAATYGATTAGCAATGCCCGTTAGCGATGGACATAATTGTTCTTCAGTGCCTTTCACAGGACAGCAGTGACATGGACCCTTRCATGGGTAGCACTAATGTCTTCCAGCAGCAGCTCACTTTGTAGTTKAAACTTTTATGTAAGGGCAACTTGGCTTTCGACCAGCACTTAAATGTTTCATTTTCATGTATAAGCAGGGTTTATGGGAATAACAAGTGAATATTCTGGTTTTGTGAATAAGTTCAGAGAGGCTTTGGCTAATTTTCCTTTCTTAATAGCATTACTTGAGTACATAAAACTTTTATTATTATAAAAAGCAATCACTGAATGAAGACTGCAAGACTGTGAGGTAAATTCCTATGTTTGGGATCAATGCTGTTGAAATGAAGTAATCCTTGTCCAAAGAGTGAGTGTGAATGTATAAGATCTGCCTATTATTTTCATAGAGTTATGTTTTAATATTGTTTGGTGACTATGTTAAGTACCTGAAAATGAGGATGCTCTGCCACTCAGTTTTTGTATGGTTTTTGAGACTGCCTTAAATTCCCTTGAAAAATGGAATAATTGTTCATATAACACTTATGAKGATAATTAATTAGTATTATGGAAAGTACCTGAAATGTCTAGAGGACTGAATAMACAGAAAAATCTGTGTAAAAAATAGATGAAAGACACTTGCTTTGCAATTCTTGGCATGATGATAAATGTTTTTTTTGGCATGTTTTATTTTTGAAGATTATGTTTCTCTGCAGTTCTCCTCTAATGCAATGTTGGTCTTCATTGCTACCATGTCGTGACAGGCAGAAAACCAAAGCCAAAGCGGATTCAGTCCTTCAAATCAGATGTCAAATCAATTATATATTAGTACTAAGAAATTGTTGCCTGCCCTCTTGGTTAAATACATTTGTGATTTTGCAATGTGTGATGTTAAAGTCGAAGTAAAATGTATTACTGTGTTTGTTGAAACTGATATGCTTGTGTGACATGGCAGATTCAGCAGCTCTGACTAACCAGCTCACACACGCAGTGTTAGTAAATATAAGCTGTCACTCTGACACGTACTTGTATGTTGACTTTGTTACCTCGTAATCCATTCTGAGTGCATTTTCTTAGGATTACCTTTTTATCAGTTGTCCCTGTGTGCTTTTATAGGTGACAAATCTCTTTAAAGTAACTAGGGAGATATATTTCTTCCCTCCATTAACTACACATTAGAAGCTCCATCAAATAATGGAACTGAGATTTTGAAAATTCAATGAGGCATTATCTAATTTTAGATGTTCCACTGCAAAGTAGAAACCAGTGCCCTGTAAGTAATATCTGAGACGCCTACATACTTCATGGGAAACTGAATTACTTGTATGTGGTCTGAAACAGCATGTCAGTCAGGGAAATATCTTGGGAAAGTCAGTAATAAAATTCCCCATCCCAGGTTAGTGTTGCGGTGCCTCAATCTGAGCTGTATTCAGTTGTCTTCACCAGCTTGAACAACTAACGGTTTTCTCTGATGAATTGATGCCCACAATCTTTTTTTTTGAGGACTCAATGATGTTCTCCTTTTAGGGCATCATCTTGGAGATGCCCTGCTTCCATCTGTCTTCTGTGTTAGTATCTTGATCTATCAAATAGTACCTAATAGCASGGTATAATTCCTTTTAAAGCTTAAAAAGTCTGAGTCTAGGTCTGTGTCCAAGAAGTGTGTTCTCTCACCTCAATGACAAGTGAGATAGCTAAGGAAAATCCTGCTCTGAAGAACACATCACCTCACTGAAGCAAGAGAAGAAGAGAAGTGGAAGCTTTACTTCATAGCATTGTATCTTGGATGCTGCATAAGGAGCCAATATTCCTGTGCATTTGTCCCCAAAACTGTTTACTCATTTAATATGAAAAAAAAAACTTTTGATCAACTATATAAAACACCTTGAAAGCAAACACCAGAACCCAGTATCCCCCTTCCAAATGAGAGTGTTTTAAGATTAAAGTTCATGCTCTTTCCCTGTAGCCCAATTAGTCTCCATTTCTTCAATCTCCACTATGCAGCATCCCTGCTCCAACAGAACGGAGGCAAGGAGTATCCTTACTTAAAAGGACATATACCCCGGGGAATTCCAGGTCATTTGCCCAGTGACATCAGTGTGATCTTAATAMTCTTTATCTGGGAATTAGGTGCATGTATCTCATTTCATAAGAAAATATTTTAATGATGAGGCTATTGAGCCATGTTGATGAGGCTGAAGAGGCTGTTGAGGCAAAAACTTCAATTCTGCAATATCAGGCCGAATTTGCTTTTCATGTGATATTGTTAGGTGTTTCCTAACATGACTGGAAGACCAGACTAAAATGACCAAACTAGAGGATCTTGCTCTTTGGAAAATGTTATTGATTGAATTATAACTGAGTTTACCAGTACTACATAAATAAAGGCATATTTTGCTTTGCTTAAGAGGCAACTAGAATCTAGATCTTAACTAACTGTTAAGTCACCTAAATACAGATCATCATAGCAGAAATTCCTTTATTTAATGCTTAGCACCTACTTGCAATTAACAAAATACAGTATCAGTCTGAAATATAGATCAGAAGAATTGTAATACACATTTTACATACGTTGTGGAGAAAATACACTTCTTCATTAAGCATTTAAGTCAACCCTAATTAAGAGAGCCCATAAAATTACAAAAGTAAAGTAATCTCCACTAAATATTTTTTTTCATAATTCACATACCTATCTACAATTTCAAACACATTTTGCACATACATATATGTGTGTGTAAGTATGCATATGCAGAGAGCTCCTAACATCTAAATATGAAACTATTAGAAAACAAAAGGTTTAAGATAAAAAGTTACAAGAAAAGTCTTTATGGTTCTTTTAGTTGAATAAAGAGGTCTACTTAAGTCTGAATATAATTGGACTTCTGCAAATTTCAGAACACATTGTTATTTGCTGCATCATTGTTTCTTAAAGTCAGACGAAAAGCCTGCAAAGGATTTGTTTCATATGTTTATTTCCCATAATAAAAAAAAAAAAAAAAAGTTTTTATTCAACCCTGAGAATGTATTCTCAAGAATATTCTCAAAAAATTTTCTGTTTAGGGTTTGAAGATTAGGAATGTTAATCTCAACTCCCAAAAAACTTGTGGAATATGTGTGATGGGAAAATATAATAAATGTGGCTAATTGGTGAGTTTATGTAGGAGATTTTTCTGAATAGCAAAATAGTCAATTTTCCCCTGTTAATATCCATTGCATTTTTTGCAGAAATGTTGATCTAGAAAGGAGATAGCGTTTGATTGCCAGCCAAGAAGGAAATTTGTGTTTTTTGCATGTTGCAAGGGAAGAGGAAAGATATGCTAGAATAATTGTTAAGATCTCTAAAACTTTCCACCGTAGGATTGTACGCAGTAAATCATTTCAAAAGCTATCAGAGCCAGAAATAAAAGTCAATTTAAGGAGTAGAGATTCCTGCTCTTCTGATCATTTCAGAAATGTTTAATTTCTAGCCCTAGATCTGCGCCAATCATAGTTAAGCTTGGAACTGAACCAGTATGTAAAATCACAAATAAAAATTTCAGAAAATTAAAATATATCTATTTGAAAATCAAATTAATTCATCATATGTTATCATAACAAGATAATATATATGCTACTTATACACATGCTACTTATGGTAACATAGTAATACAAGGAATGCCAATCCATTATTCTGTGCTGATCAGATCCAGAACAAAGATATGCTAAAGACAACCAGTTGCTAATAAATAAAAGCTTAGCCCTAGCAAAATAACTTAGCTACAGAGTGAAATCCAGAGCACAAAGCCCCAAGGTGTGATGCAGTGTGGTGTGCTAGGGCCCATGTGCACGTGTTCAATCAGGCGCTGCAGGTGCTACCTGGACAGCATGAATAGGAAACCCAGGTGATGAACGGGTCCTAACTTCTCTCTATAGAAACAGGCACTTTAATAAGMCCCCCCAAAAAGGGACCACTTGGATTCAGGCCACTAAAACATTCAGATACCAAAACAGTTTTCTAAAATTACCATTTTTCAAATTGGCAGTGCTCATCTTTATTGCAGCATATTAATGGAGAAAGACTAATTAGTGATGATAATGGCTTATCTTTCCAGCAACAATACAGTGCTCAACATATTAGTCCCAATAGTCACTTGCATTCCTCTTCATAGTGATTGGCCTTAAAACCTGATCTCCTGCTATGCAAGAAAGTGCTTTACTGTCAAACTACCTCCAGCCTACTTGTGAGGGCTTCCACACAAATGTCTGTGGGATATTTGCTCTCCCTGTATTAAGTGAACCTGGTACACAAATGTAGCAAATGTGCATTTTTTCAATCCCTCCAAAATGTTTTTTGAGTCTYTTCCTTTCCACCAGATAGGTTCAAATCACAAGGGTGGGTTTCAAATTTTGTCACTCCTAGGTGCGTTGCAAAGATTCATGCTGATAAAGCCTTTATACCATTGCTGCCTGAATCGAAAGATGAAGTAAATGTGCAGCCTGAGGCAGATCTGTGAATCTACACAAATGAAAATAATACAGTTCTATTTTTTTTTAGCTTGTGAAAGGTTTAATATGTGTTAATAAATGTAAAACTCTTTTGTATGCTCAACTACAAAATTCCATAATTTATAGTATGTTTTCTAATATATACTTTATTATCGCATATGTAYAATGGGCTGGCTTTCAAGAACAGCCTTAAAAAGCACAAGCAACAGAGTAGTTCATCTGTGACTTTTATAATGCACCATAAATGTTTCAGAAGAATGGTCTGGCGAGGGACTTCTTGACTCATATTTTGTTCTGCAGGCTCTGAAAACAAAGAACATGCATATATTTAACARTAAACTATACAGCTTTTGGTTGAACTTTGGCTTAATTGAAATCAATGGCAAAATTCCCCTCTATTTACGATGGACATTGTGGTATAAAATAATTCCCTGCACCATTATTAATATGCTGTTCTTTCTTCCACTCCCTGTATTCTTTAAATCTGAGTTTTATTTATATGCTGTTATTCCTATAAATGCTAAGCTAAAGAGAAAGCCTCTGTTCCCATATATATGACTTTCCTTTTGCATTTTTGTGCATGAGTCCTCTTTGATCTGTCTCTGAATTTAATAATGACATTTGACTCAATATCCCTCCCRCTATATATAGCTCCTGCTACATCATGTTCTGTTACCTATCATCTGACAGTGTAATTCTTGAAATCTGGCCATTTAATTTGGTCCAAGAAAATGTATCATTTAAGGAAAGGCCATGTTCATTTGCCTAAGTGAATGCACATTTCTGTTCTGTTAGCAAGCGCCGGTGAATGTGCAGCTTTCCATGCTGCATGTGTGGGAATGTTTACAGAATCCTATCAGCAATAATAGTAGTTGGCAACAATATTAACTGTAATAGCAGCATTCGCAGTTCAGTTTCTAAATACGCTACAATATGCTCATTTCCTTTCTGTATTTCCCCTGCCTGCTGMAGGGCGAAGATTGTAGCCTCCCAGAATTTCAAATTCAGATTTCACCTTCCCCTGCCAGGGGACAGGAAATGAAACCTTCAGAAACCCCAGATTTCTGTATGAATGGCGGGCATTGTAGATACGCCTCGTATTTCACTTCTTCTTGCTGACACCTGCAACGTCGGCTCTTTCCATCCCTRGGACGTGCTGTACTCGTTCTGAAGATGATCACAGTGCCAACCTCTTAACTGCACCGAAACAGTTTATTTTCTGCTTTTCCAATTTCCTAGAACCAAAGATTAATATTCCTATCAAATTACCTGATCTTTAGAAGAGTCAACAGGACTATTCCTAGGATGAGAACCATGCAGGAGGAATAGGCAATAATGTAGACTGTCTCACCTAGAGGACAAAACCAGAAAGCAGGCATAAAAAATTATATCTTTAGTAATCAGAATCAGGATTGAGATCTGAATACATACAAATGCAAGATAAATTGTAACCAAATTGAGTATCATTAAAAGGAGAAAACAGGCATGTTTTCTCCTTCTTTTTAAATAGTAGTAACTATTCTTCCTTCACTAGTTGGTGCAAAATAGCTTTTGGAATCCTCTTAGTAAATGCTAACTCCAAAAGCAACTTTTATGCATGGAACTGCTTGTTAGTGCTCCTGGGGAATTGCACAAGTTTTTTACTCTGATTTGCATTTTGGAATATTTTCCTGGCTGACTTTAAGGTGTTAGTTTTATTCTGTTTATTGCTAGAGATCTGGATCTTAATTATCTTCTAGACTCTCCTTTTCTTTTTGCTATATTACCATAATTGCAGTGTGCAGCAATCCCTGATCAAACTCATGTAAAATGRGACCTGGCATTATGTTTCTGGGCCTTATGCCTGCAGAATTTCCTTTCTTTTGGGCTTCTGACCAACAAATCACTTACATGCCTTCTGTGCTAAAATATCCAACTATTGAGGAAAAACTGGGAATTGTTTCAACTTCTGTCTTCCAGAAAATGAGGGGAAATTGATTTTGCGTGAGGGAATGCATCAGTTTTGACAAAGTATTCTGAGGTAAATTTTCAGTTCAGAATGCAATAATAACCCAGAATCTGGGAATGGGGAAATTCAGTGATTTAGACTTCTTAACAACAGGACTCTAGTCCAGGTCCACCAGCATAAAGCATAAAGCATAATACTTCCTTGTGGCACTGGTTCTATTCTGTTTACACAATTAAATACATTTTATTGATACAGAAGCCCCAACTTAGGATGGCAAAATCTGGCTTAACCCATTCCTAAACTGTTCCACTTTATACTGATAGCTAAATAACCCCCCAGGGAGATGTAGCCCCATCACTGGGCCTGCAAGAAGCAGGTAAAAGAAATGAAATCAATGATAAATTCCTGTTTACAGGAGTGAAAACAAGGATAATCACCTGTTAGGTAGAACAAACACAGCATTTCAAGGAGCAAGTTACTGAAAGGGATTTAATATAATGAATCTTGGAATGAAAGGGATCAATTTTTATACAGTGAGAGGACTGCTAATATCATGCTTTTAAAATAGATTAGAAACTTCCCATTCCCAAATGATGATATTTATTTCAAATTGTAATATTTAYGAAAATAATAATGTTGGATATTTTTTGCACTTTCTGAATCTTGATTATATACTTAGTCACTTGTAGCTGTAAGGGCTACAAGATTTTGTGATTAATTTTGAAATGGAATGAGAGATTTGTATATATTTAAGACAAATGGAAGCTTTTAAATCACTTTAAATCTCCACAAATATTAGGGAAAAAATCAAGCAGTAGCAATATGCTACTGCTACATCCAGCTAATCTGCTGGATGGTCAAAAAATTGTTTCATTGTGACATTTTAAAGCAATTATTTTTAAAAAATTGGAAATATTGTTGAATTTTGATCAAAAGAAATGCTCAAATAAAATGATCAAGTGGAAGCAAAATGTTTATTTTCACTTGTCATCTGTAGTCATTCAGCTGTCAAAACAAAAATAGTGCAATGGAAAAGTAGAAATACGGATATGAAATTCTTTGTCCATCCAAAATCCTCTCCGTGAAAACTATCAGAATACACGTTTAAACTTCAGTATGGCATAAAATTTTGCATCATCCCGTTTAAATCACGGTATGCGTGATACTGATAACCTAAATATGCATACACTTATATTTATTCATACCTACACACATATATGTGTGCACACACACACACATATGTGTCTATGTGCGTACCTGTGCAGATATGTGCCAACATCTGTATCTCTCTATAGACAACTAATGAAACTATGACATAGGCTTAAATAACAGTGCTTGAAATAAATGAGAGCAGTAACTGTAATTAAGCACATTTGTAGGAGTGGTTCTGTAACCAACCTTACTGCTCATGCTGTGTCCTCAATCACAACTCGCTAGAAAGCAGACAAATCCATCATTCAGAATTAAAAACACTATTAAATTTGGAATGCTTTCATATTATCAGCAGAAATGGTAAAAAAAAAAAAAAAAAGTATTGTTCCCACATGTTTGTTTTTCTAATCTCCTAAGAAATAGCGGTTTCTGGTTTTATATTTATTAAGATTCTCTTCAACTAACTGAGATGCAGAACTCGAGTCTGGGTTCTTTGGTGTTCAGGAGAAAGGAATATAAATATTTTGAGATGTTTTCAGCTCCATCTTTCAGAGCAGCCGCAGCTCTGGTGACATAGGCTATGGAAGTCCTATAGGGGCAGTGCARCTCTGTAGGGTGCATATAGGGCAGGATAGTGTGGCATGTAGCAAACATCTTGCCCTTCCCAGGATGGTGAACACACATGGACATGACAACTGGGGATAGGTACCGCTGAGGCAGGAGTTGGTGCTCTCTRTAGCAGATATAGGGACATTTCTATGGTAAAGTTTGGGGAAGGATAACTGGCTCAGCAGGTGGAAAAAATATCGGAATTACTTTCATCTCTCAATCTACCTGTTTATGTATACATACTGTGAATATTCATTGGGCAGATTAATTCCAGCTGATGCGCAGAGGGCTCTTGGCTACCTGCAGGTTGTTTATTCTGTATTTATAAAACAATGAGACTGATGATGTTTCATACTTTACAAATTAAAGTTGCCAGAGCTGAACTAATCTCAGTTCCCACAGCAGCTGGTATAATTATAGATAAACCCTGCCAATTACTTGTTTATCTAGATTTGCAGTACAGCAACACTTCACAATAGAAAATATCTGATAGCTCTACACTTAAAGAGGAAAATAAGATTAATTTCATCAGTTTTGGGTTAAGCACAATTTTATTTTATCTCACAAAAAGCAGATAACAGTTCTGTATTCTCAGCTTCCTTATTCAGCCAAAGAATACTTTAGCTCTAAAGCTGTACACTGATGAAAGTAAATGCTTATCTTCACACATGAATCATTTTTCAAATTAAAGTGTAGGCAGTAATCTTGTAAATGATGTGAATCTTTAAAATCATGGGCATAATTTGCATAGGATAAAGTCAATAACAGGCTGAAAGTGCATAACTAGGTAAACATTTTTCAAGTTTGGAGTGTTTTTGTAGGCTTTATCATTTTCTGTTGTTTTACAGACACAGGATTCCAGCCCTAGCTAAAGCTACGACAGAAGACTCGTTACCTTCTGTAAGATCAGGACTGCCCACATCATATCTTCATACCTGGGATATAGTAATCTCCAGGTGAATAATTTTCCATGGACCCTCCTGGGTGTTCAAGTGAGTGTAAATGCAGTTATGAGCTTTGAAAAACCCTGGGCATCAAAACTATATTTAGGAGRCTAAAGCCTTTGATATATGACATACTGGAGCACGTGAAACTTCAGGCATTAGCTATTCTGCAGTTAACGTTTTGTGGCCACACTTTTCCCTTTCTCATCAAGAAATGGAATAATTGGAGTTTTCATTATAGGTTGAAAGTGTGTCTCTGTGGATCAGTCAATCCACAGGAACTGGTTGCATCATAATAGTGTATTTGTTCATCCAAACTGAATATCCCATACTCTCGACTCAAATTATTTGGCTACCACATTCACACTAAAGTGCCTTTGTTTGCATCAAAAGCCAGAAAAATATTATTTCTTCTGAATAATGTTGTATTTTTTGTAAATATATATATTAATATTTATTRCTTAGTATGAACATTTCTTTTACTTGAAAGTAATCCTTTTCAACATCATGWTTTCCAGTGCCACTGAACAGAAGATAGAGATCTTATTGTTTTTCAGTTTTATAATTTTGAAGAAGTACAGACTTTCCTTCCTAGCATGTTCATTTGCAGATGGTCATCGTTTTGATTTTGGGAAAGAGAAACTTTCTCAAAAGTAACTGTCTTCTGTCTTTCAAAGGCGAGCTGATAAAGGATCCTTCTGAAATTTTGATATAAGAACAAGATATCTGCAAATTTCATCTCCTACTTTGCAAGTTTGGCAAATATCTTCATGCCAACAAAGGCCATGGTTGACCACTGAACCGTTTGCCTCTGCAACCTGAGATTTTGCTGGTGATTTAATTTTAGTAAAGAAAAATGTTTTGTAAACATTTGTAAACGCCCTTGCTGCTAGGATAATGCACGTTTCCTAGCATGTGAACATAAGATACTAGGCTATATTTTTGGCAATAAGATTTATGAAAAAAATTGCAATATGTTTTTTATCATCAGATATTCTGAATCAGATTCTTCTCCTTGACCTGGCTTCCTATGAGACATTTATAGCTAGAAGAATTCCCCGCTAGTGCACATGACAGCTCCAATAGGAGGAGTACTTTATTGCAAGCTTAAGGTCAGCTGGTCAGCATTCTGGTTGTTTTTCTAAAGCCATCCAAAATTCTGTTGGATTTCAAGGACGGGATTTTGGAAAGTATTCAGACTTCAGTGGGAGGAGAATTAACTTGGAGCAGCCTATTTTTTGCAAACATTTATCTGGCTTTCTGAGGAAAATGCATAATACATTTCAACCACTGAAAAAATATGCAGTTAATAGTAGTCACTGAGGTGAAACTCCTCGTACCTGACATTCCCTCAGATAAGAGTAGAATTTCTCTCCATTAACTTTAATTAGTTAAAAATTAGAATAAAGTTCCAGATGGAGATTCGCCCCCCTTCCTGTAGTCAGTAAAGAGCAGGTGACATTTCAAGGACACTCTGGATGCCAGCAAAGACAGCCTAAAATGGGATCAGTCCTCCTCTGATAGACCCCGAATTTCCTTGTTAACTGCACAGAGCACTCAGATGACATCATGGTTCTTGAGTAAGTAATGTTACTGCTAAAGTTACTGATGGATGCTTAATTATTCACACGCAGATCTCAGGAATCCTAGTCATGACTGTCTATTTTTATACTTCCCACTTCGGGGATAGCTGAAGGATAGAGATAACAGAATATCCTGTATTTTCTACTGTGCACAGAGCTTGAATTGCTTTGTCCACTGTAAAAGATGCTCAGTGTGACCATTTCTGGGAACTAATTCATAGGATGCCTAGAGTGCTGTAATCCATTCCATATAAAGGAGAACAGATCTTTCTCATTACAGTGAATGTTTATGCAATATCTTTCCAGTGTTTTCATTCTGTAATGGGGTCCTTCAAAAGGAAATATAATATACTTCCAACTAAGAGAGTTTTTATATTAATTCAATATCCCTTAGCTTGTGTTGTGTATGTTGTGTGTTGTATATGCTTGAAAACAAAACTAGACGCAGCTATTCAGCTTGTGAGATATCAGGATGTACAATGAAAGGCTCCTCTGCTGCACGAGAAGGTAATGTCAGTTGAAGGTGACACAATACCCTTCTCAAGCCACTTACTGGGGCTTCCTAATTTAGTAGTTCTAACCTCGACAGCAGAAAACATCAAGGGAGCTACAAGAGAAATAGGTGTGACATCAAAGTTGATCATTGATACTGCACATGAAGAGGGCTGCTCTCTAATGACTATATGGACAGACAGGCTCTGTCACGCCTAATAGCTTAATTTTCCCCAATTATAATATAGTGATTTTGAGCCATCTATTTCAAAACCACTTATCAGCAAAACTGGGTCAAACTCATTATATTTATTCCGCAGTTATATAAGCTAAGACAAACAGGTAGAAAGACTTGCCCACATTATGTTGAATGGGGCAGCCATGGATAGAGTTAGTTCACTTTCCYGAACTCATCCAAGGGCTCCAACCTTTAGTCTGCCCTGTCATACACATGAGAAATTTTAAGAGTTCTTCTGTTAAAAACATGAAGTGACTGGTTGTAACTCACTGTTAATTGGAGAAGAATGCAGCTGTGCTCTRGAAAGCTTTTCTCCTGGTATTTCTGTATTTACCCAGTGGAAGTCTCCTTTCTTAATCGGGATTTGACCTGGATATTGTAAAGAAAATACTTATTCAAAATTTGATTTTAAAATGATGACTTAGGCAAATATTCTTCCCTCTTGTTTTGATAGAAGTCACAGAATTTTACAAATGCAGCTTTTTAGAAGTGTTGTTTATTGATATTCAATGAACTAAATCAATGAGAGAATACAGGTTCTTCCGTTTTTATCTCAGTTGCTTCTCCACTCGAGTTTGTTTTATGAAAAAAAAAAAAGATTGTGTTTTAAAGAAAAAATAATGTTCTCATATGAACTGATTACATTCTCTTTTCACACAAAAAAAACCAAAAACAAGCTTAGATATAGGCACACCAAAAAAAAAAAAAACAGAAGTCATAAGGAATGAATTCTAGTTTGAAGCAATTTCAAAAGCTAATTCTCTTTTATAAATCCTTACTTATCAGCATAATTTCATGAATGTATCTAAAAATATGTATCTCATAGTATAATGGTCCAGTGAAAGGTCAACCTGAGTAGAAGAGTGTACAGAGTGGGAGGCAAGAATATTCGGAAACATGCACAATCATTCACACAAACAGGAGCAACATGATAACTTTTTATTCCCTAAAGGAATGAAAAAAATAAGATGTCTGTAGCCTGGAATAGCATTTAAATAGCTCCGGACTAAATCTCTTTGTAGCACATTATTTCTATAACATTCAAAAGTAGAACCCCAAATTATTATAATTTGGAAACRTAACATAACATTTTAGTTTATCTCATCTGTATTTTTACTTATTCCTCTAAAGCCACAGATCCTACCCTGGCACTAGTTTACATGATGCTCCTTTCTCATTTGGCAGACAGATACTTGCAGTTCTTGCGTGTTACTGAGCAAAGAGCAAATATGTGCAGCAAGGCAGTGCCGTGTAATGGTGAAAATGCTATTTACAGGAAGCGCCAGTCCTGGATTTACCGACTCAGAGAAACTTCGATGTTAAAAAGTTGTCAGTCTCACAATGACCAACTTAATCACATCTCTGGTAGTTTAGTTGCATCCTGGCTGGGCATTTAGGGGAAAAAAAAAAACAAAAACCCAGAAGCAAAACTCACAAATCACCACATAAATGTTCAGTGAGGTAGATGTCAACCCTATATTCAGCCAAGGTCTCAGATCCCCAGAGTATTTTTCTTTAATAGGCAGGAACTTCATAGTGCCACAAGAGCAAGCAAGTATTTTTTTCTTTGTTCCCAATTGGATTAGGAAAGTTTCCATCATGAACAGCATTTTACCCTGAAACTGCTTCAGGGAATGGCAGCAGCTGATGAACAGTTATTTGATTATTATAATATGAGGGTCATCTTTTTGCTTTATAGGTAAATAACAACTAGTCTCATTACATGATCACTCATTTGGATCATAAAATACAGCCATAAAACAAACAAACAAATAAATAATGCTCATTAGCAACACCACAGCTGGTACTGTCTCAAATTTAAAATTGTTTGGTATCCCTTTTTTAGGGAAGTTTATATTTAATTTATAAACTCATGCCAGAGTCTGAAATTTAGTACTGACTGTGTAAGCTTGAGGGCAGTGTTTCAACAACTTAATTTTCATTTCTGGTTAGCCTTCGAATTCTAAGAGTGGCAAACAAAAGTTAAGCAGTTCTAACTGACAACACCCTGGCTGCTAAAACTAAAAAAAAATCTGCTTAATTCAGTGAAATGCATATAGAAAACTATGATGTATTTTTAAATGTCAGACCTTAGRCTGGAATTTTGAAATAGTCATTACTGACATTACTTTTCCCTGAAATCATTATGAAAGGTTACTTTTCCCAAGCTAGGCTGAGAGTATAGAAGTTGAATAATATAAGGTATGAAAGACACTATATTAACAAATAATGTCCTCCAAAATGACTTATCCAGCAAAAGTTCTGACCTTAATGGATCTGAGTGTGAAACTGTGTGGATCTGGGGATTTGAGGAGATGGGGGAGCTTGGTCTTAGTCTGGTTCCAGAGATGGGTGGTAGCTTGAGTGTTGCAGATGCAGCAGACGAACCTTCCAGCTTGATTTCACCCAAAAAGGATTTCACCCAAAAAGGATTTCACCCAAAAAGGATTGCCTGCCCAAGAACCACCCAGCAGTTTGGAGCTCAGTGCAGGAAATGGGGAGAAATTAAGGACTTGCTTCAAAAGCAAATTCCTGAACCACACTAAAACATGAATAAATGCACCCATTTTGCCATTTGCTGCATTTAATAGTTCCCTAAGTAGTATTTGGCAATGGCTTTTGTATTTAACAAAAACAAATAGATGGTTTAGCAGTTAAAAGGCTTGAATGGTTCTGAGAAAGCACAGTTGCTCTGGGTTAATCTCAGGGTCTTTCCTGAGGATCAAAGTCTAAAACCTAAATTGTGAGAATAGTGTCTCAGAAATGCATTTAGATGTTGGCAGATGGTAGCTACATAGACATGAATTCAACAAGAATGAAACTAAAAACTATTAATAATATTCTGAACACAAGAAGTTTAAACTATTTGCTATTAAATGGTGGACCTGCAACATACTGTACCACCATACGTAAAGCAAATAACAAGTACATAAATTACTATCAAAAAAGGGCAAATTATGCATTGTTATGAATTTTCTCATTTTAATTACAGGCAAGATCTGTATTCAGAGGTTAAAGCCAGAAAAAAACATTTGTTTCAGTTTAGTATTCTACCTTATTTCAGTAAAGAAGCTATTTGGTCACAGAAGACCATTAATTCTCTTATTTTCTATTAGGTTTCACAACAGAACTGAACTGTTCTTGCAATGCCAGGTATTTTTTATCATTTATTAAATAATTTTCTAAACATACCTTAGCTAAACTACAGAGTAAGGTATACTAATATTTAGACTCTAATAAGAAAAGAAAAAATAACATAATTTACCATGTTATTTGTAAGAATACTGCACCAAAGCATGACATTTAACCAATGACAGAAATGCTTTGGACCTTTTCTAATCTACATAGTATTACAGGCCCTGGAAACTGTTCTTTTGTGGTCATTCCAACAAATCCATGCAATGAGTCATGTAGGCAGTTTATGGGCTTACTGCTAACATGAAGTATTTCCCAATACCCGAGAGAAAAAACTGCACAAACAATTCACGTTTCAACTTGAATTAAAAGCTCCAGGTGTAATGAATGGGGTTGCTGCTAAGAGAATTGGGTGTGAACAAGCATTTTAATAAGCCTATAAACCAATCCTTCCTTCAAGGGTTATGCATTACTCACGTAGCTGGCTGAGGCAGGATTTGCTGTGGAGCAGGCGTTGGAAGAGCTCGCACAAGGGCTGCTCCGAGGCAGGTGAGTGGTGGCAGGAGCACCCCACGCGCAGCACCGTGCCCCACGTGCCCACGTAGGCTGCTTGGCAAGCAGGGCTTGCAGAACACGGGATGTCGTCCTTGAGCAAAGTTTCAAGACAAGCTTCATCATCATAGCATTTTTTTGTCACGTGTCTCCAGCACTTGGACCGAAAAGTTTTGTATTTTTTCCTGGTAGAAGAAATAGGCCATGACATTTCAAAAACATTGTGATTTCTCAAAAAAAAAAAAAAAACACAATAATTGGAAAAAGATAATTTCTCCAAAAATAGCACTTAAACTTTAATAAGCACAGTATTTCATGGCAGCTGATCTAAATTCTGCTCCAATTTACCCTGATTGATTGCTATGAAATTTCAAGATTACAATTTGAGGAAAACATGAGTTTTATTCAAAATGCTTTTGAGAAAAAGCAACTTCACTCCAAGTCAGTACCTATGGAGATTTCCCATGGTACAGTAAAAATCAGTGTGGATACTAGCAATCTCAGATACTCAGAAAAGGAATGTGGGTAAAGAAATAAAACTGATTACTGCAATAAAAATGAAACAGGGGCTTTCAACACCTGTTGGGTAAGTTGTTTCATAGCATGATAGGAAGAATGAATATTTATTTGGCATAATCTACATCCAGTGCTAAAAAAAATAAATGTCTACTAAGAAGATGCAAAATGTCAAAAAATCTGGGTAAATTAGACCAAAACTCAGCTACACACATTAGACTTAGAAATTAGTTGATAATGGAGATGAATTACAGGAAGGATTAATTTCTTTTCCAGCTCARTAATCTCAGATGGCTTCAGTTTATTTTCTCTTGAGGTAGGACGATGTTAGCCTTTGATACACTATGTATGACAATAGAAAATATCTATTAAAGGTTAACTAAAAAAAAATCTGATTAGAAACTAATTTATTACTTATAATAAAATTTCAATGAGAATAGAAATGTTGTTGTATATTGCTCAATAATATATTAATATATTTTGCCTCTAATCATAAAGATTTTTCTATTAATTTAGTGCTGCTATTGTCTAGCTGTTAAAAAGCGAGTCACTCTGAAAAATATGAATTGTTATGATGCAAGTTAGGACCTTATTTATAAGTGTTTTAATTATTTAGGCAAAGGGGTTCAAAGCAGATGCCACCTCTGTGTTAATGGAAACATCTTGGTTCACCCCCTAATTTTTCAATATAGCTAGCCATAATTTACAYAGTAATTTTTCTGATTATGTTCACTTACTGTCAATGTCAGGAAACATTAATGCTACCAAAACATGTTATGAGGTAAAATTCATGTCTGATCCACATGGGATACAGTGACCACACTGAAAAATAAGTGAGGTAATTGACCATCCACAAATGGTGATAATTAAGTAACACTATGTATGYTTTCTAAAACCAAATAAAATCTGAAACCTATGTTATTCTTCATGTTGATGGCCTACGCGTGTGTCAGAGTAGCAAGAGTGTTCTTCACATGCCAGTCAGTCTGAGTAGAAAAGAGTAAATAGAAAATTTAACAAACAGTCCAACCAGGATCCAGAAATAGATGAATCCAGCCACAGGATCATACTCTTGAGTGGAACAGGTAATTATTTTAACCCAACAAACTTTGCCCAGTCTGCTGTATAATTTGTGCAAACTGCTAGAGGGCAAAGGTGCAGACTGGCAGGTGTTATCTGAAGAAAGTGGTAATGAAAATGCCGAAGCACATAGTTTGTCCAGCAAAAATGTGTTAAGAGTCATCAAACACAGGCAGAACAAAAGCTCATATTAAATCGCAGACCTTAGCTCAAAGAGAATCTTCATTTTACTTAGAAAATTACCACAGTTGATACAGACGGTTACGACAGACATGCAGGTGAAATGGCCATTTTGCTGTCACTTTTCAGATGAGAACATAATGTCTGATGTCTGTGCCAAGTGACAGATAACCTAGCTCTCTGATTGTTAAAACTGGGCATGCTAAACTGATAAAATCTAAGTACGTTTGGTTGGAAAAGAAGTTCATGTAAACATTCAGTGTTTCTTTCAGTGCTTTCTGGAAGCTCCTGGGCCACAAGGACAACCCAACTTCTCTGAGTTTTCATTTGGGGTTGGCCATCCAACTGTTGCTTTAACTGACATTGAGGGGATATGTGTGCAAAAAAAAGGTGYGTGGGTGAAAAAGTGAACATGTTGTGGGATTATCTTCTTGCTGTTAATAACATCTGGATTCTATCAATAACAACAGCATAATGAATAAGAGGGAATATCAGTTGTGATCTGCCTCCTCTAGACTTCATCACCTACCAGAGAAAGAGGAATTTACAACACAGTTTTTTAGGATTTTAGAACATACTTTGGAAATCTGAATAGTCTGGAGCATGGATACAAGGTGATTATCAGGTCTTGTCCAAAAAATAAATGGCAGCATTAAACACTATGATTTGCTTAAGACTGGGCTCCAGAATTCTCAATTAACTGGAATATCAGGACTAAAATGTAAAAAATAGCAGGCCTTCCACTGCTTTCATCCATAAAACATGTTTTTGCAGATCAGATACAAATAATAATACAGCATAGATGCAGTACATAAGAATGTTTTGCTACAGATGAGATATATGACATACACACATATATAATTATTCAGTCAAACCCTTCTTCTCATGCACATGACATGGCAGAATGTAGGAAAAATAAACTTTTTTCTACCTACCTGCACCAGTCATTCTCCTCACACATGTGAATTACATTTAGACATGAGGGAGTAGGAACTGCAGTCACTGCACAGGGCTTGCCATGAAGAAGTTCTTTAGCTCTGTGGCAAGATTCATCAGGCTGGATACAATCACAAAAGGCCATAGTATGGGCAATCTCAAAAGGCATGTTTTGATAGAAGAACCTTATGGCTGCTTGACATTCTTTCATGTTGCATTTTTTATTTACTGAGCAACCTTTTAGATACAGGGACAACTGTTTGTTGCATACTTCATCTTCAACACACTCTTTGTTCACATCCAAACAGGTTCTGTTTGCTGTGTGTCCTAAAAAGAATAATGATTTTTAAAATGTAATCGTAAGAGAGCGTATCTCAAATACTGACGGAGAGTTGTTTTGCCTTCAGTATTCCAGTTAAAGACAAGTCTGACTCCACAAACTCTGATTCACCTTTACCAACATTTCATTTTTAAAGGCCATTGCACATTCTTCAAAATTCTCCAGCCCTGGGGCCTCATAAATGACCCTCCTGCAAATTTCTGGCCTTGACATGTAACGGGAGAGCAGGAAGTGAAAAGTGGCAGAAGAAATATCCTTTCTTGTAAAGGTTTCTAGAATGCCGGTGAATACTTTAAACTGCTGAAATGTCTAAATTTAATTTTAAATTATGATTCATGATAGCTAATGAAGAAGATTATATAAATGTCATTGCTGCATTCTTAAAGCTAGCTCTGGTGCCTCTATGCAAAAAATCTTCCAGAAAGACCCAGATAATTTGGACCTTAAAAAGTGTAAATGTTTGCCTTTTTAAATCTATCAGGATCATGATCAACCTATCAGCTCTGATATTCTTAAATACGCAGAAAATTAACTGATAATATTTTGGAATCTATTGGCTCCCTGCTCTTTATTAATCTTAATTAAAACTAGTCACTTTAATCTAGTCAGAAATAGATTGCTCATTATCTTAAAACAGAGCTAACCACTTATTAGGATTCATAAATAAATTCTGAATTACCTTGCTTGGAGAGGGTAGATAAATTCCATTGTAATTTTGCTTCCATACCAGCATTACCTAGAACAAAATGATAGSGATATTGGCATAAGCAGCAATGATAAATAATGTCTTATCTTACTTCAGAACTTTTAAGTACTGTCTGTGATGCTGGAACTGAGTCAGTTGTAAAAATAAAAAGAATAAAACAAGTTAACAATAATCAGCTTGTTCACAAACTATAAAAATATTGTTTCATATACTCATAGATTTTGGGACGAGTGCGTACAACCTCCTAGTGGTTCTCAAAAACATTCTTTGCATAATTTTCCTTTTCCACAAACATGTGGAATTCTGTCAGTACAAAGGACATCAGAACCCTGGAATCACACTAACCTGTGTCAATGTCCTGACTTTCCTCCTCATCATCATTGTCCTTACTGTCTTCTTCTTCACTATATGCTGAAGCTCGATTCTCTTGAGAATACTGTAAACAGGGGTTGTTAAATATTCCCTTCCATATTTTAACACATCTCTTTTGAAGCGGCTCTGAGCACCTGCATTTTCCCAGCACTGTTTTCCTCAGCTCTTCCCATGCTGACAGGCACTGCTGCGTGGCCATCCGGAGCCGGCATCTCCCAGCCGCTGCCTGGCACGCGCGCTGGAAGTGCTTATAGGCTGTAAAGCAGGAAGGGTCCTCTCGGCAGCTTTGCTTTGCAGCACTGCACTCACTCTCCAACACGCTGAAGGGTCTTTGGTCTTTGGAATTTTGATGTTGCCGGAAATTCAGGTCAGTATCGGATCTTAAGGAAGTATCCAAATATTCTGTACAGTTAGGCATAAAGAGAGATAAGTGACTAAATGTCCTGGTCACCTTGGAACAAATTTAGGAAAAGAATAATTGTCTTAATGCAAGAAAATTAGTTAAATAGCTGTGACTATGCCATGATTTAATTCAGTGCTATGCCCATACATAATCATTTCAGATTCTTGCACAGTAATGCATCTTTCTCGTGCTTTCTGTGCCCTAGTGTCTGCATCATGCAGTCTAGTTTAGCAGTTCAGCTCCTAACCATAAAACGAGACACCCTCACTGAAATGACTGCGTAAAGAGATTCATCTCACAAAATTGTAGCCACCTACAAATTGGACATATAATGTCCTATCTTCTAGATTCACTCTATAATCTGCAAGGAGAAAAGGCAATTGCAGGGGATGGTTCATTACATAAAATACGTGTTCAATATGGATAGGGAGAATGACTTCTGAAAGTATCTGCCAGCCCTAAAAGCTATGAAATGTTCTTCATTTATAGGCAAACCCAGTAATGGTGCGATTTATTCAATATTTTTGCTATACTGGCAAGAAATTCAATCATGTTTAATCAACAAAAATACAAAATTACTTCCATTACTAGAAGCAAAAGCAATTCATTTGACGACATTGACATCAGGCTTAAGATACCCACTCTTCTCGTCTGGGGCAAAGAGTTTCAGAATGGGATGCTCTTGATTTCCTCTGCAATAAAGCCATATGCTTTACTGCTTGATGACATACGCTGCCTGATGCCTGTATGGAAGGATGTCTCAGAGAGGAGAAGCAGCCTCTGTGCTCACTTTCCAGATATACATTCATTGTCTGATGTTACCTCTCGTGTGTTGGATTCTTTAGTGCAAGAAGACACTGGATCAGAAACTAAAAGCCTTTCTGTGTAGTTCTTATTTGTAGAAATAAGCTTTCTCAGGAGAAAAAGTTCTCATGTTATTGTGTATTAAGTAATAACACAAAAAGAGTTCTGGGCCCACTGACTATAATGGAATTTAAAAAAGGATGTATTTTATGCAGTAAGAACATCTATATAAAGACAGTAATAGTATTTTCCACATCCATTAACCTCTAGTAGATATGCTAGATATGCTCCTATAACACAGTGCAACACAGTTACAACAGAGATGAACAGCCCCACTTACAGTCCCATTAACAAGGTGGCTGAATGTGCGTGTTTCTGTACACAGCCTATACTCAGACATGCCTAAGTTCTCTTGAGCAAGACACATATTTTCACTCCTGCATTCCAAGAGCAAGAGCTTTGTAAACCATTTAAATTTCTCACATAGATTCTCTTTTTCTGTTATTTTATTTCAAAATAAATATGAAATTTTGTTTGTGTATTGGAATGTGAATGTCATAGAATAGACAAAAAGAAAAAAAAAGGATTTCTGGGAAATTATCAGGTTTGGGAAATATGTAGACCAACCAGACTAGTTAAAATGAGAGTTCAGAAGTTCTCTTTTTCTTTTGTTCTGCATAATTAAAATGTCATCTTTAATTATTTACCTTTATTAATGCCACATTCTTTCTCAAACAGTGTTGTGATGCTGCATAAACCATCTGTGGTGCAGACGCAGTTTTTTAATACCGGATATTTGTCAGCCAGCCTCTGGATGATTGTGTTACAGCCAACGGCACCTTCAGCCTTGCATTTATTACCTAGAACTCACAATTAAAAATATAATAATATTTATGGATGCTTAGGGGATAAAGTTACATAAAACAATTCAATTTCATCACAAAAATAATATGCTTTTCCAGGAGAAGATGGTCACACTGAAAATGTGTCATAATTCACAATTTTAAAATAATATTCAGTCTGATGTAACAAAGATGYGGGTGCAATATTCAAGCTGATCCCTTACCAGAATGGCTGTCCCATTTCGGATACCTAAAATACTTAAAACCTTAAAATAATTACTTTTGTCAGGAATTCAACAGGATTAGTGTGCTTTTGGCTTATAAGTGAGTTCATTTAAGGGTCTATATCCACRAGGGTCTGTAGTGAGGTAAGCCAGCATAACCTGTTGTGTTGAATCTCACTAAATAGAAATATTTTTTCTAGGTAGGTGAGGTACAGAGATCAAGCTGAAAAAATGCATCCGAACTTGTGGGCATATCCTGGATCAAGGCATCGAAATACTCATCTTGTCCCAGCCTGGAAATTAGATGCCTGGCTGTGAGGCTGGAAATCTCAATGCTGAATGAGGTACCTCATGCTATGAAAATAACAGGGCTGTTAATCTGGAACATCAACAGACAAAATGSAGAGCCTCAGTTTGCCACTCCAGCTTCAAGCAAGGTGCTTGCCTGTGCACTCAGTGGCAGAGACACTCATGCAGACTTTTACAAACAGTAAAAAAAAAAAAGAAAKAATATGTAATTTGTGGTGCAAACAGATAAATTGATCAATCGTGTTCAATTGATCAATCAAACTTTAAGGACTAAATAGTTTTAGAAGTATTTTGTTTAAGTAGTTTATTATCATTTAAGAAGTTGTTATTTTCTACCTCACCAAAACAGGTCTGCAGCTCCCCAGACCAGTACATTTCTTTCTTTGATTCATGAATATTAACTATGTTAAAATACTTAGCCACAGGACTGTACGGGTCAGAAGATCCATGTTGTTGACAAGGCAGCATGAGGAGCTGTTTTAATCATTAAATGTATAGATTCTTATTTCTGCCTCATTGAAATGATGCTTGGCTTCCTACCTCACTGCTTTTCAGGTGACCAGTTTGAAGCAGCAGGGATCATGTGCTCTAGTAAAACKCAAATTTATAAGCCCTGTGTCATCACTGCCATCATGAAAGTTATAAGCTGTGTGTCATCATGATGCTTTTATGTGACCTGCCACTGACAGGCTGTTATTATCAATTACACAATAGTGACATGAATAGCAGTAGAAGGCAGTCTGGGCAAAGGTCTGCAAGAGGAAGCAGTGCATTTTGCTTATGCCTGAAGGAATGAAGATTTACTATACGCATGGGCATGTCTCCAGTCCACCACCCCAAAATCCATTTTCAATCAGTATCCAGTTGTTGTTGGTAGCTAGGGAGCATTGGGATGTATTAGAAAGGGGAATCACTACAAGGGGTGCCCCAGCCCAGCAAGATTTACAGCTCCTAGCCACTGCTCCCACTTCACATCTTCTAGCAGTAACAGGAGGAGGTCACGATGCCTGGGCTTTCTTGTCTCTCTCCAATCCCACCTCTGAACTGCCATATGCATCTCTAGAAAAGATTAACAATCCTGACCTTAGCCCTCATATTTCTTTTCCCTCCAGTAGCCAGGGAGATCAGGAAGTCTAATAGGAGGTACTGAAGATCACAGACATAGGAGACTCCCTCATGGTAAAAATAGATTTGAAAGGCTCTCATGACAAAGGAACTATGAGAACTGAAGAGTTCATGGAAATAGGTGGCTGGATATTCTTCCTTACATTTTATCAAAAGAGTTAGGGATAATGAATTAATTTCAGGAGAGAACTTTGGAGGGAGGACGTCCAGGGGTGGAAAGAAGAAATAACCCAGAAAGGGATAGCATAAAATGTTATCTCATAGTTCCAGGACATGTGATCTCATGGGTTTCAGGACATATGAAGGGTAGAAGAGTGTAGAAGTGACAGAAAAAGAAACAGATCCTAGTATCTTTTACTGCCCAGCCCCACTTCACTCACCCACCTTTATGGCACTAATATTTTGCATTCATTAGTCAGTTATGCTGTCAGTGTTCAGGATGCCCTTCTAAACTGTGAACATGCTGCACCGAAATATAGCATGTGACAGCCGAGGGTTGAGACGCAATGGTTGTGGGGCTATGAACATTCAAAGGGCATGGACAGAATCAGGAAGCACAGCAGATTTATAGAGTTCCCCTGCCTGGCCTCTTAAAAGCAATGTGGAAATAACCTATTATCTGTATTGGTCTGTTTGTACTCTGTGTTGATTCAGCTGTAATGAACAGCAGAAAATATTTTATTGCTGGTTTTCAATTATTGTTGCTTTATCGTAGATTAGTTCTAGGTAATATATTTTAGCTCATGCATATGCTACCAAGGCATTTATGAAAAATACTCTGTGACTTAATGCTTGGCAGCCATTATTCATAATTTTATTTATTTGTATGTACATAATTTGTACATATATAACCACAAACAGAAGCAGAACAGAGTAGATGCTGACACTTCCAGAGTGATAATCTTTTTTTTTCCTTGTGTAGTCTGCTCTTTAATCATCTCCAAGGGAATTGCATCTGAAGACTGCAGTTGAAAGTACTGGATTTTCTCCTTCAGCCAGCCCTGGTGAGACCACTGTGGGAATGCCAGGCCACTTCTGAGCTCTCCAGTACTAGAAAGACGTGGACACACTGGAGTGAGTCCCGCAAAGTGACACAAAGTTGATGAAAGGACTGGAGCATCTGAAACAGGAGGGGAGACTGAGGGATTTGGGAAGGTCCTATCCAAGTGAATAAATACCTGGTTGGGGAGAGTAAAGAAAGTGGAGCCAGACTTTCCTCAGTGTTGTGCAGTGACAGGACAAAGGGCAATGAGCACAAACTGAAATTTTAAAAATGTTTTAAACATGAGAAAATACTTTTTTATCCTGAGGATGATTGAACTCTGGAGCAAATTTTCCCCAGAGATATATTGGAGTCTCCATCCTCAAAAATATTCAAAACCCAAATGAACATAGTCTTGGATGAGCTGCTCTAGTCAACACTTCTATGAGCAGGGAGGTAGGACCAAAAATCTCCAGAAGCCCCTTTCAAGCTCATTGTATTATTCTGTGACTATATGAAAAGTAAACTTTACTTCCAAATATAATTCACAGTATGATTCCTTAATAATTGATAGCAACCTGTATTTTTTTCAGAATGATGATTTTGAAAATGATGGTTTGAAAAAATAAAGGAAAAGTGCTATTTGGGTTAGACCAGGTCTCAGCATTTTTTTCTCATGAAACATAAATAAATAAATAGATAGATAAATAAATAAATAAATAAATAAATAAATAAATAAATAGCAAAAGCAACCCTCAAATCAAGCTTAAAATCCTTCATTATGTAATGCTGGAGATTTGACTGCTGAATTCATTTTCAGAATGAAATATTTTGATTCTGTCAAGATTAAATATTTTAGCCTTTTCCAATCCTGACCCAGAAGATATTTCACTATATTATGGCACAGAAAGGAATGCAGAGGAAGGCCTTGGAAGACCAAAAATTGAAATTCAGAAAAAGTTGCTGGATGTGCTGCTAAACAGTTTGCCTGAGAAAAGAAACACGGTGCTCCAATTAGTGTCCCCAGACCTGCTTTGAAGAACAAAAGACAGAGGTCATCATAATCTATAAACTCCATACTGAGATTGCAACCTGAGGGAATGAGCTATGGAATTTGCACCTTAGAGTAAAAGAAAAACTGTAATCCATACTTAGCTTTTTTCAAAGAACATAGTAAAAGGAATATTTGCCCTTTTTTGTCACCAACCTATAAGCTCATGTTACACCCTGAGGGTGTCTCAGCCCATACATGAAGCTTTCCATCTTGTRCATGTAGAGTACTCTTCATTGGTGGTATAAAATTATTCTTATTAATAATATTTTTATGTTTCTGTTCCGGTGGGTTTTCTGAGAAATATCATCTCTCTGACTGGAGTTCATAGCCTCTGGATCCATGGACCACACTAACTATATTTATAATACATTTTTCCAGACATAAGAGAATATCTAACTGTCCTGCAATGCTGGATGATCCTTGCCAAATGCTGCTATCCTAAGGAAATATGCAGACACAAAAAGTTGCCAAACAGTTGAAACAAATAATTCATTTTCAGAAGGTTTCTCTGACCCAGTAATTAAGCACACAGGAGAATGTGTGAAGGAAGTGGAGTATTGTAACCAGACAAATGAAAGRGGTCAATGCAACAAATCCAAAAGGGAATCCACAGCCCTCGTCATGCTTGGTGACTTCTCTTCGTCACAGCCCGTTAGGCCAAACAGCCCTGATGTTAATCAGGGCTTTTTGCAGAATGTGAGAGAAGCAGGATTAACTTTTTCCTCTGATGCAGAAAAGAGGGCTGTGTCATTCAGATTTCATATTTAGGTGAATGTCTTGACCTTAGAAGCACTTCATATTGCAGTACTTATCTTTCAGTACCAACTGTAGCTTTTGAAACTGGTCTAATTAAATATTTTGTATAAAATTTTTGTATAAGACTCAGTAGCACATGAACTGAAAACTAGTTCCTTTCAGGACTGTCAAAATCATTAGAATATAGTGTTTTTTCCACTTACTCTCAATGTTTTTAAGTATTTTCAGACATTCTATGCAAAATATGTATGTATCCAGAAGAGCAGACACTGAGAATGAATACACGGAGAAATTTTTGCTGTATTTTAAATGCTGTCTTGTGACCTGGGAGACTTGCACTCAAACCACTGCAACTAATCTAGAAGACAGAGACTTTCAGCCATTTCACATTACAGGTTGGTGTTACTGTAGATAGGCAGGGAGTCAGGTAGTGTCTTCTCCTGCCTGGATTTTCCTTCCAGATCAAATGTGGGGCTTGATCCAGAGGTAAAGCCAGATAGCTCATTTTATGAACTCTGCTGYATCTGGGAACAGATTATGGCATCAGGACATGGATACTTTTGTCCAGGCAGTGTCAATATAAAAAGAAGGGAGGTTTCCAGGGACACTTAGATAGATCTCCATGAAATGTAGATACCTCACTGATTCTCAGTGGTTTCAAATTTATATTTTGGAATTAAGTTGCTAGAAGTGGCAGTAGCGTGTCCAAATCCCTTTGGCTACATTTACGAATAAGGTCGAGGCTAGGCCAGTGGTAAGTGGATGTTTTTGTACTGTTGCATTTCTGCATGGTACCTAGTTTGGGCTGAGCAAACTAGCACTCTCCAGGTATTGCTGCAAGAAGGTAGCGTGGACCTGCTACCATTCCCAGGARAGAGTTTTGTTCAGTTAGCTTGGAGCTAGGAAAGTTTCATTGTAAGTGCAAGAGATGGTGACTAATACCCAAGAAATTTTAAGCAGTGAGTTCAAGAAGACCATAGACTGTTGGGGAAAAAGAACATTTCCATCTGACTACATTAGGGATTAGAATGAGCTTCAGGCCAAACCAGTAATACCTAGACTTCTTTACTAACATAACCATGAAAAGATGGAGACTGATTTTCTGCTTTCATTATTGTAAGAATCTATTTAACCACTGAAGGAGAATTAATAATATTAATAATTTGCAATTTATCGTACCAACATTCCCTGGATATGGATCACTTTGACATGTAGGTACTACTCACTGAGCAAATACAATATGCCTCTCCACAACTTCCTTTGAGGCATGTTTTATTTGTTTCTTATTACAATGCTGTTTTTAAAAATTATTATACGTAACTACTACATTGCCTCAGGAATGATACAAAATCAGCTGCTCTTCTGCTCTTCTATTTTTGGTGGTGGTGGTGGAGGCTTTTTCTTTTTTTTTTTTTTTTTTTTGAACAAAGACAGGATTTCCTAGTTCATAACAAAAATAAATGCTAGCTTTGGATAACAGCAGGATCTCCAAGCAGCACAATTTCCACTGAATTCAGATTTTTACTTCAGTTACATTCCAGGAAGGCAGTTTATTGCACTCAAGACTGGACATTGAGACTCCTACATGGACTACAGTCAAGAATTTCAGGAGATGGTCGGCTGCCTGCTGCTGTCATTTGCACTTTGAAATCCCCCTGACTTCCTTCAGTCACCCTAGCAATATACACCATGCAAACGTTCATCAACTCAAGATAATTCCATGTGTACTGTAAATAGTTACCTGAAATATTGCAGACATCCTCCACAATGTTCCAGACACTCTCACATCCATTTGCAACATTTATACACTGTTCCCCCAAATGCTCACAGGCAGCAGATACACTTGTGAAGTATATGAGCAACACTGTAAAAACAGARTATGACTATTTAATAAAGCAGATATTGTACTTACCTTTGGAAATTATATTTGAATTATAACATTATAATTTACTACAACTCATCATTTCAAAAAAGCTAAAACTTAAAACTTTCCTCTCATCCACTAATCTACTGTTTAACTTCTAAATATTCAAAGTTACAGTGTTGTAAAATCATGTCAGTTGATGAACATCCATCAAAGCTATAGATGACATCACTCCATAGATATATAAAAATTGTTGCTATGATGAGATCCATAATTAATTATGAAAAAGAAGACTAAGTAAAAAATTCAGAGGAAAGTTTAAATCGGTACCACTTCTGCCTTATCAGTACAAAAATAGATTGCTTTGCTAAGTAAAGAGAAATCAGTTTGTATTTAGCTCTTTCATGAACATTCCCATGATAACACATCTTCTAATTCGAAAATCAGATATCTTAATTTTCTGTAAAATTAAATTTCAGACATTGTTTTCAGGCCTCATCAGATTAGCTGTCAAACACCTGCTGGGAGTAATTTTTTTGGATATTAAAGGACATTCTGCATCTCCTAGATCTGTGTTCATTGTGTGATCTTTAGGCAAGTCTATGTGGAATCTAAAGAACTTTCAGCATTRTTTAAATCCTTAAGCATCATTTGCAAGGGGCATGAAGTATTCTCTRGGGATTCTCTGGGTCCATGTCCTGTCCAGAGAAATGAACTGTAGATATTTGATACAGCTCTTAATAAACTTTAACAGCTGCARCTCTTTAGAGATAATGTCATCCCTTCTGGAAATGGTGCTTTCCTGTGACCGTGCCACTGTAGGGAACACTCTCTGGAGACATATTGATAAAGATGCAGTGCCATTTAGTAATTTATACCTGATGGGTGCAGGAACTTCTAGTGTGCCTCAGAGATCTGTGGGAGTCACACAGACTTGCCATAAGATGATGAAGCTGGGGCTATTCCTTTCCCAAATCTGCATATTCCTCCCAGCCAGGAGATCCAAGAAGAGCTGGTTGTGAGGTCAGTCACCTCCAACTGAGCTGCTCACTTAACCTTCAGGCAGTCAGCTTGGAGAGTGATCRGTAAGAGCAGCTCCTGTGGCTAGCTACTGAGGGACATCTGGGTGGTCTCTCTATTCTATTCCTACAGCTTCACATCCCCGTGACCAAATGCCACTCGTAGGACTATCTCTACATGCTCTAAYTGTGAAGTTATTTGCTCCTTATCTAGATAATACTTTCTGGTCAGAAAGCATTCTCCATATGCCTTACAGGTGAGAGAGACACTGCAAGGCTATAAAGTTACGAACTTTAGAACCTARGTGCAAAATGTAAAGAAAGGATTTCTTTCTGGATGACGATTTACATATTTTGCAGCTACTAAAACAGTGGGGAAGATCTACGTCTCTGACTGGGGTCCATAGCAGAAAGACACTGTGTAACTTCCTCCCACTAAGACATTTTTTCCAGAATCAGGGACTGAAAATGAATAGTTCAAAGTAARGACTGATTGAGCAGCTCATCAGCAGCTCCTGCTCCTTGATAAAACTTATCCACAAAAAAAGAAGAGATGTCTTTGCAAAGCAGAATGTTAAGTAATAAATATGATTGAATCTTCTTCAGGTGAAGAAAAGGACACATCTAATGGCAATGGCCTAGAGTGGCAAGCTTACATACAGGAGACTGGCCTTTCTAACTTTAGAATCCACGTTTTTGTAGCATTACTTATGCAATTATTTAAGCTGATAACCATTACTTCAGTAATGGTAACTCTAGTTATGTTCTTTAGTGTTTTGAGTGCTGAAGCACTACACCTCACTTTAGAAAGTTTATGGGATCTACAAGTTACTTTRCAAACAGAAACTAATTTACAGGAGATTTCATCTAATTTGAAAAAAAAAAAAACCCATAAATTTAGATTTCTACAGGCATTTATATGTTTTTACAGGTGTCTTCTGACCTACCGGAGAGCTGCCCAAATGGATAGATTTCCCAATCTGAATAACTTAGTGTCTAAAATTAAATGTAGAAGAAAAAGAACATACTAACATTTTTCACGTGGGAAACTGAGGCACAGGGGAATTGTAGTGTCTCTCTCAAGACCATAGGATTATTACCTGGCAGATAGTAATAAGTAATAGGAAACTCAAATTTCCSAGGATGTGGTTCCTTATCTAGCCCCAAGAGCAGCAAGGAAATTAGTTTCAAGGGAAAAAGTAAACTACAGCTATATATTTAGGGGCATAGATGTGGTAAAGTTTAATTCTACTGGAATACAAACCACCTTCAGAATGGTTTTAATGGCAGAAAAGGAATTTAGTTTAGTAGTTAAGGAGAGAAGCAGTACGTATAGAAAAAGCAAGAAAGGAAAATGGAAGTCTAAAAAAATAATTAAAAAGCTGTTTATACCTGGGAATGTGTTTTTCATTGTAATGTCTTCTATCAACTCCCGTGCCTGCTTTGTTGTTTTTCCCTCTTTTTTTTTTTTTTTTCTTCTTTTTTTTTCCCCCCATTTCCAAGTGGAAATACCAACAACCTTTCCCGAAGCCCCGGCAGCATTCAGCGCTCCCCTCCGCGGACACACGCTGCCGTTTGTGTCCCAACGCCCGAGAGCTTTTCCCCGTCTCCCAACTTTGTGCGGGTGCCGGCGCTGCCGCCCCAGCCCCGCTGCGCAGCTCCCCGCCCGGGGATGCGGAGCGCGGGGCCCGTGCGCGGGATGCGGAGCGCGGGGCCCGTGCGCGGGATGCGGAGCGCGCGGCGGGCAGGGACGCGGCCGCGCAGCGCGGTGCGGGCCCGCGGGGCGGGCGGAGCGGCACTTACCGAGGCCCAGGAGCGCGGCCATGGCCCGCGGCGGCTCCGCGGGACGAGAGCGGGCGGCTCCGCGCCGCCCCTTCAGCACCGCGCCGCGGACAGCGCCCGCCCGGCCCGGCCCCCGCTTTAACGCGTTTTACTGCGGCCCGCGTTTAACGCGCGCGGGAGAGGSGAGCTGTAGGGCCCGCCGCACGGCAAACAAATCAACGGCCCGTGTGTCGGCTGCGCGCACGGCTTGCCGCGAAAGGGGCAGCGGCTGGCTGGGCTCTGTAATAAAAAGACAAACAAACCATAAAGCATGCAAACAATGACATGTCAGCCTAGGCTATCGCCCTGAAGATAAATGAGGGAAATGAGAGCAGTGGGTGATGTTCCCCTTTTCCAGTTTCACTGCAAGGAAAAGGTTAAGAGATATGGACATATATGAACAGCTGCCTGCTTCACTTTGGCTGCTGAAGAGCCCTCAGACAGCGTAGCTGCCTGAGCTGTGTTCAGGCACTGAACACAGTGGTGGTGTCTCTTAATACAGAGACCCGACCGAAGCATGGGCAGAAAGTAGGGATCATAACGATATTAAACTTGCTATAAGAGTTCAGCTTTTGCTATAAGAGTTCAGCTGAAAGATCCAGCTAGTTAGCTATCCTCTTCCACAAAGCATGTATGTAGGGGAAAATGTAAGACAAGTATAAAGTGAGGATTCCCTGACTCCTCAGGGACAATCATTTGCCGCTCAGGAACTTCTTGAGCAGGAGGAGTGTCCCATGGCACCCTCTCYCACAGGAGAAGCAGCCGTGAACCCATGCAAATGTTTAGCATCCACACTGACAAGTGGTGCCAATGTAGGAAATCTTTGTTCCGAATGTGCGACCCGTTTGATTCTTTGGATCCCCTCTAATTCTTGCACTGAAAGAAGTAAACAGTAGGTGCTCACTTCTCTGTACACTCCTGAGTCCTGGTTTGGCATATTGCTTATCAGCAGAGTATTTTTGATTGGACTTGGTCCTTGAATCCTGAGATTAAACAAGCATCATAAAGCTTTTTGACTATCTAGTAGGGATAGAGATGTACTGGGTGAAATTCTGTCCCCATTGTCACAACAGAACTTGAATGAAGTTAAGATTTTGCCTTTTTTTTTTGTTTGTTTGTTTTTTTTGTTTGCCTAAGGAAAACTTAATCTTACATTTAATTTCTTCATTCTTAACTTAGATTTTAACTTGGATGATTTATTATATATATTATTTAAGCTTTCATTTTCAACATGTTGAAAGATTGTCATTCACTGAAAGCATGTTCATTAAAACAAAGTACCATTTCATCCAATAAACCAAACACACAGGAAAAAAAATACAGTAAGATGAAAGGAGCAGCTGAATATCATTTCAGCTGGGAGATAAAGTTAGGTTGGATGGTTAAAGGTATATTTTTGCCGAATTCCACTATAATGTGCAGCAATATATTGTGATACAACGTGAGTAAGAAATATGCATTAGTCAGATGCTTCTTTTTGATGGTTAAGAAGGTAGGAGTAAGGAGTTTTTTACAGTCCTGTTCATACTGATGGCAGGACTGACTATACATCAAAATAGTCACACTAGCCAAGTTTTGTAATGTAGATGGGACCTCAATCAGATACTTCYCCTTCCAGCTGCATTGAAACCCATTTGACCAAAATTTATTTAAGATGCTTAACTTTCTCCCACCAGCAAAAGGTAATGAACTCAAAGTCTCAGTTTTGTCTTAAGTTCATTTTGGTCTGCATTATTATTGCTATTCTGTTCTACAACATCTTTTATTTCAATAGTGAGTTTATCATTACATAAAAAGTTCCTATGACCACTTTCATTCAAAAATAAATGCACCTGAGTAGTATTTTAAATATATCCAAATATTTGGATCTTTTTGGAGTAAAAGACAGCAGAAGTGGTGAAAAATGACCCTTAATTAGCACACAGRTAAATGACAGATTTTTGCATCCAAGTGAGGATTTACTTTTTTTCCCAATAAAACGGTACTTGAAAATGTGMTAGAGAAGAAGACACAAAAATAAAGAAAAAATCCCCAGAAAGTGTATCATGTTTAAATGGAATTTCCTGTATTCAAATGCCTTTGGTCGTCGCTGGGCACTGCTGGGAAGAGTCTGACTCTGTCTACACCTCAACAAGCAGAGTGTAAAGTTTACTAGCAAGAGGCAAGAAGCTTCTGAATTCACCTGCTTTAAAGAAAGCTTTTTAMTATTGCAAGAAAATATCTGGATACCAGTGCAACAGATGCCCCCAAAAATTTTTAGTAAAAAGTCACTCCAAAGTCTAGTGCGACTAGCTCTTTCTAGATCAAACTGTTGTTAACTACTTTCCATAGCATCTGACATGCATTTTCTCTGGGCTTCATGTGGTTACTTTCTGGTCTTATGACAGAGTCACTATTTTGAGGAACATATGTGGGGTTTTTTTTCCTTTCTTTTTTTTTTTTCTTTTCACAAGAAAAATGCCTGAAATAAGGGATTCCACTGTGGCTTAGTGTGTTGCTGCTATGGAACTGAAGACACATGTGTCTGCTGCATGTGTTGCATGCTGTCTATAATTAAACATATGAGATTATTTAAGGCATACAATGTTTTGGGGTACTGGTAGAAAACTATTACTACAGGTAGCTCAGCTTGGTACAACATCATTTATCCTGAATTTTGGAATCTTTTGTATTATTTTTGGGGGAACATTCTCTGGAGTGAAATATCACCCAGATCATTTCCTTGCTTTATCTTGGAAAGAAGTTAACTGAGGACTTCTGAATGTCAGCCCACAAGCAAGAATACTATCAAGAACTGTGGACAATTTGATGTTCAGTAGTTCAGTTCCATTCCTGACCCTCTTTTATGTATCAGTATAACATTTATTAAGAGTCTGTATTTTTAAAAGGAAACAAGTTAGGCTGGTAGGTCAATAATTTCAGAGATCCTCTCTTTTCTTTTTTTTCCCATTCATTAAAGACAGATATTTTGCGATTTTCTGGTTTTAATCTTTTAGAGTCTTACTGTTCCTCTGTGAGTCCTCAGAAATAATTGCTAAATGATTTGAAGCTCCTTTAGCTTGTTCTTTAATTATGTCTGGGTCAATATGATTGGGCCAGCCTGACTGGTACCATTTACCTTATCAAAGGACTCTCCAACCATTTCTTTTCTTACTGAAGCTTGAATTATTACCCCTTTGTTCTTAAAGCCAATTGTATTAGTCATTTAATTGAAGTTGACTTTTTCAGCTAAGGGTGAAGCAAAAAAAAAGCCACATCAGCCTTCTTAGCCTCATCTGTTGTTAGTTTTTCTTCTACTTTGCAAAGCCTTTCCTGTCCTTGGATCATCTTACATTTTATAATTAAATATGCCTTTTAAATCTACAGGTAACTCCAAGGCTGAAGAAAGCTGTGCTACTCAGGGCTTGATTCAGAATTTAGAAGGTGGAAACAAACTGAACGAATGGCCTGAGCAGTACTAGGTCAAGGACTGTCCAGCAGACCAGGCCAGAGACCAGGCTTGAGGCAGGGGCACTGACAGCCTAACTCCAGCTCTTGGGTGGCTGGATAGGGATGTGCAGGGATGAGCTAAATGGAGCCCYTGAGCTCACAGACAGGGCTGTGAGTGGTGGATGCAGCTGAGGCCCATCAGGGCAAATTAAGGCCTACTGATGCTCTTAAGGCGCCAATTTACTATTTCTTGTAAATTCCTGTAAAATCTTCTTCACACTACAAGCAGAACAAAGCATTATTTTAAGGGAACAGTGCTATTCTCCTTCACAGCCCAGAAAATGGTCTGTGCCATTCTGAGGGTTTTCCTTTTCTGTCTAGAATGTGCGAGCAGACAATGGGATGGCTGTAATAGACTGTATAGTGTTTTGTCCAAATCCCACCTCTACAAGTCTTGTATAAGTGATTCAGTATTAGCCTTCCTTATTTGTGTTTGTAGTTTTCATTTAATGAAACCTTAATTTGCACGTGACACTCTTGATATTAATTGATAGGGTCTTGACCTTGGAATCTGTGGTATGAAATTCATTTCATCCTCTAGGTCAGCTGGTGATTCTTGTGTGATTTCCTCATCCTTGTCTGCACCTGTTACAACTCACAGTTTTATAGTATCATCAGGTTTCATTATAATACTTTTATTTTTTTGGGCTGATCATGAATGAATATATGAAATAAAACTGATCCTGGAGGCACTTTCAATTATTTTCTGTTCAGCCTGATATCTCATCCCTACATTGTTGCTATATAAATTCTAACTTATCTTACACTTTGTTGACTGTTTCTATTCCAGTACTAATTTATAATGTGGGACTGTGTTAGATACTTTACTGATGGCTGAACAGGTAATATTCATCATATTCACTTAACCTAGAAAAGGATTTATCATGTCAAAGAAACAAATCAGATTTAATTTGGCATAGTTACCTTTGAAATTCTAATGCTCTATTTAAAACCAATTTTTACTACTACTATGTCTTTTTGATGTCTTTTAAAAACATTATATTTGATTTTCTCTAGTCACATGGGCAACCCTTACTTTGACAATATGTTTTTAATTGCCATATTTCATTCTCTTGTAGGGAAAAAGCTCAAACTGTTTCCTTTTCACTGTACTTTTTTTTTCCTTAGAATTTCAAACCTTCAAAAAACTTTGATTGTACTATTTGTGTCTATTTAAGCAACAAAATATTGGCCAGAACAAGATCAAATTCATGTGTCAATAAAAAAATCTCATTGCTATCATCTACACACACACACACACACACACACACACACACACACACACACACACACACACATACACAGAGAGTATTACATTTGGTTAAAGTTATGACTTTAAAAAATCCCAATTTTGGAATATTTTATTCTGGAGGATATAAGTGAAAGTAAAGAACAACAACAAAAAAAAAGATCAAGGCCAGAACTTCCTTTTCTACCCTGTCACAGAACATCTGCAGGAGTCAAAAGCTCCAATGACTTTTGATTATATTCTTACTTCATATATAACCAACATAATTTATACCATTTGCATTAAGACAGAAGCAAAGAGAAGATAACTTGAATTGGTAGGTTGTGTTCAGCCCCTCTYCAGAAAGATGATAGTTACAGTTTTGCTATGAACATTGCGATTTTGCCACTCAAATACTARCCACCCAAATTAGAAGCATTTTACCCTTTCTCTTCTTCATATATTCATCTCACATGGGTTTRGGTAACACACCTCACAAGGCATGAGAATCTGTCTGACTTCTTCAAAACCACTGGTGAACCTCATGTTTGATAAACGTGCATACTCCCCTTTCATGCTAACCAAGTTTTCTATATAGTCATTGACTGTTTACATATATTACTTTATATGCTTGCTCTCTCTTCAAAGAAAGGATAGAAATACACTTTTCAAAATGAAAGTATAGCTTTGTGTAATTCCTTTGACATACTTTCAGCAGTGGTAGGAGGAGCGTTTCATATGATTATTAAGATGGATGAATATTGTTTGCAGCTTGATTACTATGCTARTTTTTGTTTATATTAAAACAGAAAAAAAGACTTTCTAATTTCCAATCTTCTCTTTTTATTATSTTTTAATTCAGCAATTCCTTGTCTGACCATTTCAAATTATATAGAAAAATAATATCTTGTTCTACACAATTTAAAACTATCATTCCCACAATCATTTGTATTTTCTTTTCATAGAAGAGATAAAGTAAAATAATTCCTTGAATAACAGTGAATAGCTATACTTAAAAATTAAGTTTATACATAGGAATATAGGAATCATTCCTATGATCTTAATTGATGTTTAGATATCATTTCCATTTAGGTATGTTTCCTTAGTCATTTACTACAAAAAAGAGAACTTTAATATACAAACAACGTGAAGTTTTTATCTCACTTTATATCAGTGTAAATTATAACAATGCCTAGTAAAACAAGAAGGTAGAAGGCTAAAGCGCAAAGTGATTAAGCAGTTTATAAAACTATAKCTCTCATGGTAGACAGAACATTGCATGACATGGCTTGCATCAAAGTAAATCCTAAAAAAATATTTACATAGGTTAGTCAATAAAGTCTATGAAAAATTATTTTTCCAACAAAACATGATCATATGAAAAAGTCCTATGTCAAGTSTTCAATTTTTTACTGAAAAATAAGTCATCCCTCCCATTTTACCCTTCCCATTGAAAAAAAAATCTTCTAAGAAGTGGGATCCTACCTGAAATGCAAGAATTAAGAATAGTGCCACATCAGGACTGTAGGTTCTTTTAGATTGGACTCTCTAACCAGCAGGCCATGTTCCCCCAGCTGTTTTAGTTTCCAACACTATTTTCTCCCATTAAGAAGGAAAATTACAATACATGGYAAGAAGCCCCAGGCCAGGGAGCTTATCCCATGAAAGGAAAATGGATATGTGAGCACTTAATCTAGCAACCCAATGAAATATCTTCTTCACATTTCCAGAGAGAAACATTTTATTATTTTGTGGAAAATTCAATATTATCTTGGCAAACAAATCTGTTAATTTTTTGGATCACTRCTATTAAATGACATTTGAGATAGAAAACGCAAGATAACTAATGTCTATTTTAAAAATACTCAGAGATCTTCTAGAACACTTGTGAACATGATGGACTAAAATGAGCCACCAAACTTAGTGTCCTGTTCTTCAGGGGTGCTGACAATTATTATTCCTATTGGCCTGAGTAGGAATTCTGAGCTTATAGCACCTTTGAGTATCACATAGGTTTTACTTAAGCAGATAGTTTTTAGGCACTCCAGTCTGAAAGAAAAAAAAAAAGGGAATTTAGTATAATATTCCGAAAACATGTGTGACTTGCAGCAAATTGAGTTCAAAAATCTAAGAGTCATGTCTGTACTTAGTAAAGTAACCTGGAATATTATAAAATCAATCTGAAAGGAAACTTCCATAAGAAACACTAAATTTACTGCAAGTAGCAGAAAAAGAAGTGCAAAATAATTCCAGAATATCACTAGTGCRTAAGTAAGCATTCGTTGCAAATAAGTTGCTTATTAATACAAACAGGATATAAATAGATGATGTTTGAGACTGCTTTCAAATACTTATAGTTCTCTATATGATACAACTTAGAACATTCCACAGCATCTAAAAGGTATAAAAATATATATCTACAATATTTACAAAGTATGGTACAATCCAATCTTTAAAAAGACTTGTAAAGACGTGTTCTTTAGCTCATACTGAGGTAAGTAGGTTTCCATAAGACTGAGAAGAAAAAGAAGAGGCAGTCATTGAATCTTTTTGTCCTGTTGTCCTTGTCTGCAACAGAGCTAATACTGTGCCATTTTCAGGTGGTCTTAACGGTATTTATCCAAAGTCAGCCTTGCTGTAATTCCATTGAGGTAAGTTTATTTTTGCTAGGGATTAATTTGTCCCACTTTGCATTCTCCGCTGTGCCAGTGTCTTCTGCAGAAACTCTTACTGCTTCATCTAAGCTTGAAGTCATACTCATCCCTGGTATGTGGAGATGAAGTTCCACTGATTTCAATGGGCTCAGAGTAGCTGTGATACCTATAACATAAAATATAGTTTTTAAGGTGATTTTGCAGCTTGGAATAGGTAGCTGATTGACTCATCCTGTGACTGACACTGTCYCTTAACAATATAAAGATGATCTAATAACAAAAATATCTACCAGAAAATGTACCAAATTGTACTTGTGAATTTTAAGCAAAGATTCCTTTACTRGAGTTTAAGGGAATTTCCAATACATAAGCCTTATTTTTTCTTATTGGTAAGAAACATTTTAAGCATGCTGCATTACTTATTCAATTCTCTCTTCTTAAATAGCTTATGGTTCCTGATTCAGATGCTAGTGCGAAATACAGATTTTTGTGGGAGTCAATACAGGACAGATCCAAACAAAAGAATGATGACAGATAATAGATGTAGAGTAAAGCATGATCTACCGTCACACAGCATCAAAAGACTTAGAGACAAATATACCACCAGAGGGGAATAGGTGCAGTACCATTTGTTGGAATTGTGTTTATGTTGGTCAACACAACATGTTCTGAAAGTTTTGAAGCATTATCAAAATTGCTGATCTGGGTGGTCAAGGATTTTCGGCTCTCTGTACTGGCACGACCCCTGGTAAGCCGGTCGTCTTGGTTGTGGCGAATGCCAAAGAAGCAACAAGAAAATGCTGCTTTAAATTCTTCTCTGAATTTCCCTGTCAATCACACACACACACAAAAAAAGACTCATCATTATGTCATAAACAATGTTTTGACAAAGCTAATAGATTAGTGGAAAAAAAAAGTTATCTAATGCAAAACTAACCAAGAATATGGAAATGTCTTTCTAATGCCACTGATACAGGAAGCCTCAATTTCAACAGCTTAGGGAAAATCAGAAAAGATAAAACCTTCATAAGAATGTATGTGAGATACAGTATGAATTGGATATTATTCTTGGCTAGACATAAAAAGCTACAATGACTTCTGAAATTAATCTGTATAATGTTTGTTGATTAATGAAAGCTAGTGAAATCAAATGATTAAGCACTGGTAGGCTTAAATGGATGAATCATTATTTGACATGTGAATGAGAGGTCACGGCTAATTTGTTTTTCGCCTTGAGTACATTTAAAAAGAAAATTCAAAGTGTATGATAGTCCATTAACCTTCTTTTAGAGCTTAGAGTGTATTGCTCAGGTTATCCTCACCCTAATCACCAAAAAAAAAAAAAAAAAAAAAAAAAAAAAAAAAAAAAGACAAAAMCAAAAAACTAAAAAACTACACAGGACCAGTTTAGGTCTTGATTCTTCTCTCCAGATAAAAACAAATAAGACAAATAAGTCAAATACTAATGAAGACAAATCCATATTAGTAAACTAAACAGCGTCCCGCTTTTTTTTTTTGGGGTGGAAAACTAATTAGAACACCTTTTCCATGCCCATACTACTAGTATGGCCATAGCCTGCATTTCAGGGACTTTCCTAATGAATTAATGATATGGACAGTGAAACTCAAGCAATTTGACTCATGCCTTGGCACTCTTTAGTTTGTTTAAATGTACATAGTCTGAAAGCAATGGTAAACGTGAGGCAGCTCGGTCCCAAAAGAAGATATAGCTCCCACTGGAGGAGCTATACTGGTGTTACACAGCATTAATCATTGCTGTGGCTCATTACATTTAAGCGATACATTAAACTTGAATTTTAGGTAATTGCAACTTACCACTGAGGAAGTTATAAATAATAGGATTGGCTGCACTGTTTGCATATACAAGCCAGTGTGAGAATGTGAACCAGGCATATACAGTTTCTCTGTCATCAGCATGATTAAACATCCCAAAAACCCTAAGGGAAAAGAAAAGGAAACCTGAAAGATGGCAAAATTAGAAATCATATAAGAAGAAGTCAAACATAACTTCTAGTCTACTTTTATCCCAGATGACTTATTTGCAATATCACAGAAAGTCTGGTTCAACACAGTTAGTTTCCTTGAAAGAAAAAAAAAACTCTTCCCATCTATCAGACTCTTTTCTTAATGGTTTTGTACCTTAAGTCCCTAAGCACTTTGCTTTGCAGGGGAGAAGATGCATGATTTTTCATCTGCATAGCTTAAATAAACGATTGGTAGATTAGCCAAGTTGCTTTCTGCTTTTGCCTTATTTCTGTCATTGCGCTTTCTAACTCTGGGTCATTTTCAGTACATGGCACATTGTGCAAATAGGTGACGTTAAATTGACCTAAAAATGAGCTACAGAGACCATGGTAGCAGCTTTTGTCTTTCAGAAAATCTCTTTTGTCCAGATTCCTTATACCTAWCATTTGCTGTTTAAGTGAAAAATCAAGTGGGGGCCTAGACTCCTGCCGTAGCCTATGCAGCCTCTGCAGATGGTGGTTCTGCTCATATTTGACTTGAATTGCCTTCTGGAAATATATCTCCCTCCCTGCTTCACCTACCAATAGATCTGTGGATGAATAGAGATTTAAATTATGCCTCAGAAAAGTGTCAGAACTGAGCGGGATATATTTAAGCCTCCATGTCCAATTTGGAATTATTCTTTTTCAAAAAAAAGTTTCTCAATCACAAGCCTTCAACAAAAGAATTTTTCTATTTTAAGATTTTTTTTTCCAGAAATTAACAAGTTTTCTCAAAATAGTAACTTTTGCTGCATTTCACTGTTTTCCAAAACATGTATTCCAAAAATCTCTACAGATATATCAAGGCCTCAGACTACCAAACACTATATAAAAAAGCTGCATGCAAACAGCTTTCTGCCCCAACAGAACAAGACAGAAAAAGATAAAAATGTAAAAAACAGCTTCAAATACAAACTGAACCATTAACCTAAGGACTCACTAGTGTGTGCAATGGAGCTTAGGTCAGAGAGCAGTATTTCTCAGTCCTCAGGCGGTATCACAACTTTAGCCTTACTCTAAGACAGTATCACAACCTTAGTCTTCCACTAAGCTTTAGGTGTTGTAGGTCTGTGTGTGCATTTACAACAAACAAGCACTAATCCCATGTAAATGACAAAGGAAACAATGTGGGGGTAGGAGACACCATTTACATGAATCAGAGCTTGCTAACAGGAATTCTTCAATATTATCTTCAATTTCTGTAGTAAAGATAGGTTAGCTATTTATTTTTTTAACTTTATGTAAATTTTCAGTTTCTTTATCGTGAAATATAGGCATCTCTCTCCAAAGCTGCTGACAGAATAAAAGGAATAACATTATAGATAACAGGTTTTAGCAGACAACTTTACCAAGTGTTCAAGTTCTTTTACCTTTTTAAGACATTGAGGATGCTAATTGGTAAATAACAAAGTGCAAAAACCAGGAGGACAACCATTAGCATACGGGCTGTTTTCCTTCTCGCACGAATCTGTTTTATTTCAGCTGCCACAGCACTGATCTTTGATTTTGTTGATTGTCCCGTCCCTCGGGGCAGTGCGGAGGATTGCAGAGGTTTCCATTTTTTCTGAACAACGGAAGAAGTTCCTGGTATCTAAAAAAAAGAACGCAGTAAGTTACTACTTTTATTGGCACTTTGTGAAACACTTTGGGTAGCTATAACAAGAAAAATAGATATGTTGACATGTACAAGGTAAACTTGCAGGAAGAAATATTCTTTTTTATTAAATTAATTGATGCAGCTGGGAGAAGCAAAACAGCTCTTAGATACACTTGAAGCAGCACACTTGGTGCTTTATATGTATATCGATTGATATGGTAAAAGATATCTTCACTTCCCACACACTTTCCATGTTCAGACTGTCACACTTACAAACTACGCCTATAAATTTACTATATGAATTTTGACATTAAATGTTTTCTTCTATAAGAGAATATCCTACTATACGGTATCTTCTACTAATATGCTACTACTATAAGAAACTAAGTAGCTTTTCAGACATGAGAAAACAAGGATTTGAAGCCTACTAAGGCTCTCAATATTGTAAAATTTTCAAATATGCAACTTAAGTGACAGTAAAGCAGCTAAAGAAGTCGTAGATAAAACATGGATATCTTGCAAAAGTCTTCAAATTGAACTGAATGTATATACAATGATGAATAGAGTGGGAATTATGGAGGAGTGCAAGGGCATAGGGAGAGGCAGGTTAGCCAAAGACTCTTTGCTATGGGTAGATGCTTCACCAAGGTTATTATTAAAAAAAAAATACAGATAATACACTTTATAAGATTCTGATTCTGCATTCTCAGGGGTATTTTAGTTTTCTGATCTTCTAATTTCAAAATTCTTCCTTTTTAGTCCGAGTGAATTACATGTTTGTAGCAATAACTGATCTGAAAAGGAGATGTAAGTGACAAGATTCACCAAATCTGTCCTCATCTTGCCCTCTTCATTATACCAAAGATTCACCTTTTGTGAATTTTCTGAAAAACTCTTTTAGTGACTAGATTCAGCTCATATGAAAATTAATAGAATTGTGGCTGAAGACTGCAAATGACCTTCTACATAAATTTTCAACACGTTGCTTGTAACTTAGTGTGCAGATATAAAGGTCTTACCTGCTATTCAGGTAGTCTTTAATAAGAAGAAGTGATTACAAGTAGGGTTTCTGATACAATATATGAACTCACTGCACTACATGTCAAATTGCTGGATCTTGCAAAAGTTTGCGTGGAGACCATTTCTACAGAATCCTCTTCTCCTCTGTCTTTATTTGTCAAATAACTGGACTTTGCTACTTAGAGTCCAGCTCGCMATACCACAGCAAGAATTTCAGACAGAAAAAAAAAAAAAATCCACCAAAGCTGTTTGAACCGGTGCCATGTTAAGAAGCATAACACTTCACGGGCATGTGTGTTTACATGTGTGTGTATAGATACATTTTCAAAGATGTATATATGTAAATACACACATATATTCTAACAAGCAGACACTTGCTGCAAAAAGTGTACTTTACTTTCTCTACTGAATCCACTATAGGAATAGTTGTGTAGAATTTATATAATGCCAATAACAAAAACTCATTAGCTGTGTCCTAACAGGTACTAAAAGCTACCATATACCTTTCTCTGACTCCTCAAATCATTATCAAAAGGATTTATTGAAGAACAAAGAAAGGCTCTCCAAATGTAATAACAGTTTCCAAAGATTGCAAGGATATATTTCACCTGTCAAAATAAAAAGGAGGAGGTTCCTGCTTATTAATATAATAAAGGTTTTAATGTAAATATATTTGGGCATCAATACCTAAGTATATAGTATGCAACTAGATAATATACAAACTATATGCCAACACTTTATCATAAGACTTATTCAGTAATATTTTGAACATTTGTTCAAATGTTGYTTTTAAACTCCTCCTTAAAATCCACAAGAGAATATAGTTTTCCAAGTCACTACCTACTTCCTTGCTAGTAATTAAAATAAATTACCCAAAATCTCTGGTATCTATAACTTAATTATTCTTCCTTTCAAAAGGACTTATTTCTAATTTAAAGATGGTCATACTTTTATAAAAAAACCTGCCTGAAAGACATAATCATTTGTTGTAAGAGTTAGTGGACAAAGTATGGTAGGGGCGGTTTGTGAATCCGTCTTGTATTTAGTCACCTGAAAATCTGCATGCACAAGATACTCCATTTTAAAAAATAACTTTTAGAAAAACTGCAAGGCATGGAAAGATTTTGCTGTCTAGAGTGTTTATTTCTGCATACATCTGGAAGGTTCTTCATAGCTCACAAGAGAATCACCACATTTAACTAAAGTTGGGGTAAACAGCACGATTTCTTAATTGAAATAATTATGAAAGAATACATGTAGACCACTGTATTCACTTACTCTACACGACTGATTACAGCACACCTGTTCCACTTAGAAAAAGGCTTGATAACTGCAGCCAAGTCACAGTTTTTAATAAAYGTGAAGTGGTTTAATTTCACTTAGTGCAGCCCCTTACACATAGTGTTATCATCAGCACTAGAACAGGCATCTGTAATTTTTCATCATTGACAGCTTTAAGGTCATAGCAGCATTTGCCTTTTGCCACAGGAAAAAAAAATGTATAAGAATCATCCTAACCTTATTTTTTGGTGGGCAAGATGTATATGGATATCTTGAATCAGGCCAAATAATATGAGTGGGGTTAAAAAACAAAACAGGTTACTTCACAGACTCTTCTACTCTGAATGTTAACTAGCAAATTTCAACCACACACAGGTGAAGAATAATTGTTTTATATTATCTTTACTAATGATTAGTTTGAGATAATAGGTGGATTGCACAGAAGAGAAGGATAATGGTGATAAGTTCATTAGGACCTAGAGGACAAAAAGATAATTATTCAGCAACACAAAACATATTAAATCTGTTTTAGACTGAACTTAGTTTCAAAACTAACAGTGCTAAGCATTTTTTTTCATGGTGAATGGGACCTATTCTAACTGCAAAGGTTAATTTTTTAAAATGTTTTTATTATATAATCTTATGAATGTAAGGAATTCAAAACAAAAATAATAAAGAAAAAAAGGCAAGATTTTTCATTTTAYTTTAATATGATTAGAAATTAAAACAATTGCTTTTATGATGAATAAATGATATAAAAATGGTCTAAAGACAGTTTGTTTCTTCATATATTTTCATTACTTATGTGTAATATGGTTAATTTCAGTATGAGATTTGTTTTTTAATGTACATATGCTTGGAAATCAAAACTATACTTGAGATTTCTCTGAAAGATTAAAGTGAACAGTACAGAACACACTTCTGATATGGTGCWTCTGTATTATGCTCAACACAGGATGGCCTCAAATTCAGACAGTATCAAATATAATAGTGGGAAATAATTTATGCTTGTGTCTTGATGTAAATGACAGAGCTGTTTGAGAGGACAGGACAGGGAATATTTCGCATCATATCTTCAACAAGACGAGTTTATTGGCCTTTATAGAATGACAAATAGTGGGGCTAAAGCTATCAGTAAATCCTGAATAAAGCAGTAGATATCAGATGGAACTAAGCATTAATGAATGATTGATTACAGCACTGCTTACACCCAAAAAATGAGTCTTGAGTAAGCTAAAACCTCTTAGAAATGCTATTATTGGAAAAAATGTTTCTGAAAGCAATCCACATCATTTTTATTACTTCACTTCAAATATCCCCTGTGAGTTGATCTCTTGTTGTTCAGATTTTGCAATTTGATTTCTGACCTGTCTTTTAATTTAAAGTTTGAGAAATTAAATATTCACATTGGAAACTATTGCAATTATTTGTAATAATTCACATCAAACATGACAGGTAATATCCAGGTTCACAGCAGAAAACTCCAATTTCACAGCTGTGATTGTTGCACTTTCACATCATGCTTTTGTTTATATGGGACTCACTATGAAATTGGTACATTATGGAATTAAAAATAAAGTTGAATAGACTGCTAACAAAATGAGAAAGATAATCCTAACTCTTACAGCTACAGGATATTTTTGCACTATAACATCACCATATAATTTCACTTATTTCTATCTTTCAGCAAGCATTTCAAATAGAATGGAAGAGATCTTTCTTGTGMTTAAAATTAATCTTCCTATACTCTTTTCCTTCCTTTATCTCTCTCTCAGAAATCTCACACAGATCTGAGCAAGGCAGTTTGACTGCCCTCATTTCTGYGTGCATCTCAGTTCTCAACCCAGGGGACTGTACCCTAAATTTGGTAATAATGGTGATTTAAAATGACCTAAATGACAATTTGGAACATAAGGAGAAGATTATACATGAGAATACATATCCTGTCACAACAGCAAGGAAGCAGAGCTAAAATAAGCTACTCACCTGGCGACACCACAGCTTTCGAAATATTTGCAAATAGGCCAATACCATAAGACACAGTGGGGCCATGTATGTCACCAGAAAAAAACACGTGTGATACATTTTGGGATAAACCTCAGCTGGAATGAGAATTTAAATAGAAAGAGCRTATTTAAGTATACATACATTCTAAAAATATTGAGTCAAATCAWTTTTTTTTTTAAATAAGCCAAATGTCAGAAGTTCTTTTTTGCAGTAAATCAGTCAACATAGAACATGCCATTAGCCATCAATAGGTAACCAGTTATTTTAACTATTTCATCCTTTAACGTGTGAAGACGTTGGTAACTATTTTTGGTTTTGCTTCTCCAAGGGCTGCTATGTATCTTTGAGTGAGCTGTACAGTTTCTCATAAACAGAGAGCACAGACTATAGCACAGAAGTGCATGCACATTAAAGTATCAGTGAGAGGCAGGCATTTCTTTAAATGCATTTCAAGCTTTTCTTTTTCTCAGTGGTGAAATAAATCTAATTTCAAACTATATTCAAGCTATATATTTAGTAATGTATTATTATGACTACATGAGAAAAATAAAAATGAAGATTCAGTCAAGTGTGCTAAAGGAAATTCCTGAGATTTTAACTCCACGTTAATAATGGTGATTTTTCTACTCAGATGTCCTAACATTGTGTGAGCTCTTTTGAAGAGACAAATTATGGATTTTATTTGATTATGGAGGAATATCTTGCAAGAGTTGTGAATATATTATCATTTTAAGAATGTTATATTTAAGTTCCTCCTTTTTAGATTATAGCAGAAAATGCAGTGGGTACCTGGAAAACTCAATTTCATTTTTGTACTACCAAMTATAATTTGACATTACCAAATGTTGATATTAATCACAATTTATCATTTACAAACAGTCTCAGAAAGAGAATGGACATTACACAAATCTACTATAGTAGTAGAAGAGAAACTGCTCACCAACCAGAAAAACTTCAGTATCAGGCAAAGAGAAATTTGGTATGGCAAAATCTAGTAGACATTCATGGTTGGCAAAGGTAACAGAGACATAGCCACTGACAGCTGACAACTTTGATGGATCAGGATCATTCAAACAATTCAGATGAGCAGAATTTGGCTTCTTGCTTGCTCTGAGATTCCTCAGCAAATCACCTTACCAACTACTAACCAAACAGCTACAGCTACGAGCTCTTGCTTAGTGTCCTTGGGGAAGACAAACCATTCTGGGCAGTTACTTTACAATTGGCAACAACTTGGGTTTGGATATTTGCTGATGATACCAAAATGATTTTGCACCTCAGGGAATGCAGCCTCACAACAATCTTGTCAGACGGAGAAATACTTCACCATGCTTCACAGGTGGAGAGATTAAGGAGAGACTGGAGGAACATGACTTACTGGGATCACGGGAGGTCAAGGAGGGAGCTGAGTACATTCTTTCCAAGAAGGAGGTGCTACCTGCCTCATCAATACTCCGCAGGCAGCCAGGCCCCTTGCAGGTAGAAGGATGGTACATATTTAAAAGGCCATCTGGAGTTTATGGCTTCCAGTTTAGCATTCCAAATAAAGAGAAACATTAAATGAGCCTAGCTATCTACAAAGAACTGATGAGCCAGGTTGGAGGAAGATCCTAACGTTTGCCTTTGAAGTTTAGCCACCTGGAAAACRCCAGCTGCAAAACATCAAAGGAAACCTGTCCCTCCTCCACCCAGGGCAAAGCACTTTGTAGAATTTTTCTTTAAGAAGAGTGACTGTTTAGCTTCTCAAGCCAGAGAAAAGCTTTAAAGCTGTTTGATAATCACAGTGGCAAGAAGGAGGAAGTACTGGTTTGGGATACTTTTCGTTTATCAGCTGGGTGAGTTCCCAGCTCCTTGAATGAGAACATCAATCAGCCTATAGGTCTGGTGATGTATCAGCTGTCTGAGTGGAACCTCTGATCCTCTTACACTTAAGCAGAAAGGAGAAAAAAAAATTCTGCCTTCCACAAGTCACTTAATAAACTTTGGGAGAGGGAGAGACCATTCTTAGTTGCAATAATCATCTTTTTAAAGAAATGAATGAAGAAATGCGTTACTGACTATTTCTCTGAAAAGAGGAAAAGAGAGAAAAAGAAAGCAAGTGATCACAGAGACTGGGCTGAGGTCAGCATGTCTTCTCAGTATCAGTCACATAGTATGATGATCTCTGCCTGATAAATGACCAATTTGCTGAAACAGGCCTTCTTACATCTGATGCAGGGATTATTAAATTTAAAGGTTTGTTTTAAAGCTTGCTCCATGTTCCAGGCTGTTGTTCAATGGAGAAAGGAGCAAGAGGTCTGAAACTTTGGTTTTTGGATTCAGACAGGTTTTTACTAAGAGCACACTCGCATGCACACGCACACGCACCCTCCAGTTTGACACATGCAGGTACACCCCAACCTGACACACACACACACACACACACACTAATGTGACATACACACTCACACACACATCACACACATGTATGTACCCAGATTCAAAAGCTTTTAATAATGTCTCAGCAAATGAAATATTCCTTTAAGCCACAGAGGCATAATAAAATTCTTTGACTCTTAACAGCTTCCCTAAGAATATCAGTAGRAAAAATAACAAGACTATCAATATTTTATGAGTGTCTGCAGAGAGAACCCAGGCTCCCTAGTCTTAGGAAAATCTCTGCTAAGTTTTGTAGTAACCAATAAGGAGAAGCAAGACAAGTAAGAAAGTATACTTTTAGGATAAAGCCTAGTAAATAGGGATATCAAGAAGTGGGTGGCCACAGTAGAGAAAATCAGATTACATTTCATTCAGGTGATTTTCAAGTCACTTGGAACTGTGGAGTGTGAATGTTCTCATTCCTTGCATTTATTGTGAAAACAAGAATTTTCTGGACTCCTTAGTATCATTCAATGAGCCTGTTTTAGGTCATATACAAACCCTGAAAGTTTTAATACTATGTAATGTGATTGTTGTGYATGTTTAAGAGTTGAAAAATACATCTAAGGAAGAGCCAGGGATCAAGATATAGAATTTGTTTGTTTGTTTGTTGCTCGATTGGTTTATTTCTGCAGTGTGGGTAATATTTAGTATTATAGAATTAACTGCTTAATACTGATAAACAGAATGTATAAACTTTCATATAATAATGAAATTTCCAGCTATGTTACTTTCTCCAGAATTAATATGTTTTCTACTATTTTATGAGTAATCKAGGAGAAAATGGAGTACAGAAAACTCTCCTTCTGTTCAACTGCATATTGTACAGAATWGAGAAAGAATTATCTCCATATTCTTTTCATCATATACAAAGGTGTTGGCTAATGCACTTTGGCTAACGTCCTTTTCACGAACAGCTCTAAGAGAATGTGGTTAGCTGGCTTGGACACATGATGAATTCATTTCAATATATGCCTCTGGTATTTTGGCACTTTATCATCAAATTCAGCCTGTAGATATCAGAGTCTTTTATGGCCAACAAAGTTCTATAAACTCTTTCATGGCTTCTTAAATGAGTCTGCCTACCTAGGTCACACATTGGATCCTTCTGCATTCCCAAATAAATTATTAGRCTGTGCTAGAAATCAAGAAACCCTCAGCCCAGAACTTGCGATGAATTTCATGTCAGGAATGCCAGAATAATTAAAAATAAATTAAGCCTTGTTTTAGGCTGAACTATTGCCCTATTTTCAGTCGTTGGCAGCTCTTCAATAGCATAACTGAAATCTTATTATTCATGGTGGCCTCTGTTTGAGCAGTGTTAAGGAAACCTTAAGCAACTTTGAGCAGTGTTAAAGAAGGCAAGTGGGAAGTGCTGAATAGACCATCCTTGCAGCCACTCACCAGACTTAGTCGTAGCAACTGGACCTAAGTCTGGGTAGGGTGCAGCAGTGTCGGTTGTTTAGATATCTCTGACTTTTTCCTGGACACAGCTTCCTGCTCGTTACTCCTCCTTAGTACCTCATGTTTCAACAACCTTGCTTTCCCAAATTAGTATAGGGTTCCAAAACAGTTTTGGAAGTGTCATTAAGTGTCATTTTAGAGTTTCAACCTTGATAGTTTACAGTTCAGTGTGCTTGGGACAGATGATAGCTGAAGAAAATGCAGTTCTCTGTAAAGGTTTTCTCAGAAGTGTCCTAATTTTAGACAGCTCAAGTGATATGCAGCTGTAAACAAAGCAGTGAACCCCTAAATGTGATCCCTTTCCTGATCACACAAACTGACTCCCCTACAGAATTTTCTCTGAGTCCCTTGAGCATGTGCAGTTTCTACATCTCCACTTTCTCTTTTCAAATACAGCTTATACTTAGGAAAATGTTTTTTTTTTCTTTTTTTAACCTTCTGCTAGTTAACTTGCTTTGACCCTGTATTTTCCCACAATCCAAAAGAGGGRAAAAAAAAGCTTTATATGCAAGAACTACCTCTTTATTCCTTCCTCTGACCTCCAACTTCATCAAGCTTTTCAAAATGCTGCTTTTTCATCCGTGCTTCATTTCTCTTCTGTTTGGAGATCTGCCTGAATTCAAACTCATGTTCCTAGCTGAAAAACGGGATCATCTATACTTTGGCCCAATTCATTGTCTTAAGATCTTTTCATTTCAATGGAAAGTACTTACGCTAAGGACACTTTATTCTCCACGGTTTGCAAGGGATGTTAACATATTTATATTATGTTATATTATTCTCACTGGTAATACATAACTAACACTACAATTACTAAATTCTATGATATGAACAAACTATTTACACATAGAAAGGTTCTTCTCTCAAGCCTATTAGTTCTAACAAACTAGTAAGTTCTAATAAACTATTATTAGAAAGAGTGAAGAGAGGATTATTATTTTACAGATCACTAAAATACACCAGCATTAAAAGTGGCATTGTGGGAATTAATTAGCGGGCAATTCTTTAAAAAGGCAACAGCATAAAAGCAGGTTTGTTCTTTTTAAGTGGAATAAAATCTCTCACTTCAGAAAATTTTCACATATTTTAAATTTTTTATGCTTAATATTTAATGTGAATTGTTTTCTTTGTATAATCAATTAAGAGAAAAAAAGTAATTCTGGAGTGCTTCATTTCTGAAGCCAAACACAGAAAGGACTTTATTACATGCAAGAGTATTTACCTTGGTCCTACCTCTTTATACCTCTCCAAAGGTCTGAGTTAAGAATCRTAACAAAATGAGAAGATTGTTAGATGTAATTCTGGACCAAATCCAGAAGGATAGAAAGTGGAAGCTTTTTTTCCATATATAAATAATGAGTGCTTCAGCTCAAACATATATGTGGGCTGCAGCTATTCTATTCAAGTAGGCACAAGAGACACTTTCAAATAGTTCCAGACCTTCTACAGACTCTGTAGCTTGAAAGTAACGCTTCTCTGTTGGAAATCAAAAGGTGTCCGATATASATCTTGAAATTTTGAGAATGTGTTCTTCTGATAAAATGCTCTTCTGACTCCCCAATTAATTAACTGCAGAGCTTTCCATCATTTTCATTTCCTGGGCTGATTAAAAGTATCTCTGCTGCAAATCTAACCTTGAAGTGATGAAGGCATGGATTATCGGCTTTCAAACAAAATGGATGAACACAAATTGTACCCAGAGTCAATGCTATGGAAGAAAATATTTGCGTAAATACTGAAGCYTCCAGCAGCAGATTGGGATACAAAATTGTTCATAGATGAAAAAGCACATTAGAAGTAAAGAGCAGACATGTCCTCTTCAGTGAAGCAAGGAGTGCAAAGGTTTGCATTAATCCACAAACTTGCAGCACATCTTTGCCTGGAACGCCTGCCAGACAACCAATGGCCACGTCCACCAGCCATTGCCCTGTTCCAGAGGACCAGCTGAGATGAAGGATATGAAGAACAGGGAATGTGGCAGCTGGCTTCTCCTAATTCAACCCCTCCCTGGACCCTGCAGAGTAGGAACTTTCAGAACAGCGTATGGAAGTGCCCAAATAATTTAAAATGGCTTAAACTAATTCATCTTAATTGCTCGCAGGACTGGAATCTTTTTCTACAAAGAGGAAACTCTGAAAGAAAATCTGTATTTTATTCTGCCTTGAGGCTATTAACCAAGCATCTTTTAGTGTACAGACCGTGGCAAACTTGACTTCATTTTCCTGTGTGTGAATATTGGCATTCCTGGTGGTCACTTTATTCAGCGTCAGTGTCACAGCAGGTAGCTCACATACTCTATTAGCATTGGAGTCGTGCCAAGGCCCACCAGAGCTGGATCTGAAACAACTGAGGGGGTGCCCAACACTACTTGCTAGGTGAAATCAGACACAACAGAAGCAGTTGCTTCCTTGCATTCCTTGGGAATTCTCATACTTGGATTCAAACTTAGAACAAGTTAATCTGGACAGGCGGAATAATACTTCATCAATTAAATCATTGGAAAATGATTACACCTTCTAAGTTACTTAAATAATGCCCATGATAAAATACAAGTGGTATATTAACCTTCTACCCTATATTAATGCTGTCTCTAAATTCTGCAGTGAATTCAATTACAGAATTACAACTACAATTTACCCTGAAGTCCCAGGACACTTCTATAAAGTCTAAATCAAATATCAGCAATTAGCAAAATTGGTGTTCCAGGTAAATGAAAGCTCTATTCACATGTAGTTATTTCTTAAGGCTAAATAATGCAGCCTTTGTATTTTCTGCAATGTCCATCGATCAATGAGAATTATATAAGCATAAGCATTGGAGGGTGGGAATGTTTTTCGCCCTTGGGAAACATTAACATAGTCAAGACACAAGACAGTCTCATCCATTTAAACTTGGTTTCAAATGTACTTTCAGTTTTAGCAATGAAAAAAAAATAAAGAAAATGTACAGAGTATTTGAAAAGCAGTACTTCTAGGAAATATTACATAATTAAGAACATTTTGTGATATGCTAATCCAGTCTTACTTCATTATAACATATCCTGATGTATTTACTATATAACAGCAGTATAAATTCAGTATTTCTGGTAAAAGACACACTTACCTCCCCAGTGCTCGTCACATACTGTGAATAAGGTGGTTTTATTGGCTAGTCCTGGGAACACACTGCTGCACTCCATAACAATAGCCTGWGGAATCATTATGATGCAGGACACAATCCAGATAATTATAATGCTGTTCCTTGCCCGCTTGGCTGTGCTTTTAAACATCAAAGGGTGACAAATTGCATACCATCGATCCAAAGCAATGCAGCTCAGTGTTAGGACAGATACAGAGACCGAAACTGTCTAAGGAAAAGAGAACAGTATATAAACTTTCCCAGAGTTTTAAAAAATAGTTGAATTTTCAACATAGTTAGCTTACAGAATTACAAACTAACAGAACTACAGAATTCTTACAGAATTACAAACTAACGTATAAATCACCTTGTATTTTGTATGATACCTTTATCTGATGCACTCCCACTAGAATCAATAGGACAATTCACAAATTAATGTGCTATCCAGGCTGAAGAGATGTAGCAGGGTCAGATGCCCCAAGAATAAAAATATGTAACTTAGGATTTACAAAACAATTACTTAAAAAAGCTATAACCACTAGTCAGATCCTTGTATTTTCTTTGTAGAATATCTTTCTATGCTCAGATACCAGTTTTCACTGTAAGAGGGGTCATTTTACACTTCTATTCAGTATAGGAAATGATCCATGACTTTGGTTTTGGTTTTTGTACTTTGTATATTAGGCAATCATTTCACTTTCTATTCAGATTTTACGCCCCTAGAAAGGCGAGTATGATAGAAGTTTGTGATTTTGATTCTATCCAGCATAGGATATACTTGSTGTAGAATGATTCTCCTTGAAAATGTGACTCTTCAGGCTGCACATACAGTATATCCACAGAAAATACTAAATATGCATTCAGAACTCTGCTGAATTGTTTTGATTTATAATGACTGAAAGACCAAAAGATCTGCCTATCTAGTACGGCCAGTTTGTTCATCTAATCTGATACACTYAGAAAATGTACCAATCATTTTGATGGAAATATTCTCTTAAATAAGTCCACTGATAATGAATGAAAAGTGCCACAAATTACTTAAGGGACACAATGTGATCAAATCCCAGTACATGATGATATTTCTAAATAATATTCATTAAGTCACCAAGCACATATGAAAGTACAAACTCAGTTCAGAGTTCTTTAGAGGCTTGATTCTCTGTCATGGGCACTAGCTAGGTGTTTTGTGTTCACATACAGAGATTATAAATGCCGGAAATTCTATCTATATTTTATTAACTTATATCTATTCTGAATTAGGTGGACCTACCAATCAGTTGCATCAAGAAAATACTCATTAAGCATAAACATAAAATTTATGAGTGGAACAGTCCTTCAGACCTGTGCAGGGATCCTGAGGTATCTGTTTTATCTGAGACAAGCTTCCACCACATAATCTCAATTAGTATATTCTTTTTGTTTTCTATAGCAATAGCAATGTGTGTGCAAACACAACAATCAAATACCTGCAAGTAGGGAATCACTTTGCAGAGTGGCTGCCCAAAGAACCAAGTTTCTGTGATGTCCACTACTAACGTCGCTGGAAGACAGGTAATCGTGACCAGAATGTCAGCTAGAGAGAGATTTACTATGAAATAGTTGGTAACTGTCCTCATGTGATGATTCTTCCACACTGCAATGCAAACTGAGATTGAAAAGAAAAGTTAGTGTGCAGTAAATGACCTAGGTGAGGCTTCAACAAGAAAACCCCTTGCATTCTGGAATTAAGGAAATGTGTTCGTAGTTTAAAAAGAATACCTGAATATGTAGTTCAGTGTTTTGTGTTAGAAGGAATAAAAGAAAGTACCTGGAGAGAGATATGACATGACTATTGTGATCAAAAGCAACAGGTAGCAAATACTCTACAAGATATGCCTTTAAGATTGTTTTATACTTTTTCTTTTCAAATTTGAAAGACTTTTATATATGAGGTAAATAATTCCTTGAACATGGCGAACTAAACGCATAGATTTCCTTGAACATGGTGACACTAAGCACATAAACTAAAACACCAGAAATGCCATGACTGTGTCTGAGAACGTACTCCGAAAGAAAAAGAAAAAAAAAAAAAAGGAATAACTTGGGAAGTAAAATTCTAAGAGATTGTAGCACTTGATAGCTTTCAAATTTTCAAAATTTCAAACACTATAAACCCTCTAAAAAATCATCCACAAAATTCTCCTGAAATACCACAATATTTCTCATAAGAAAATAATACAATTCATTGTACATCAAAGATTCTTCTCCTTTAAACAGTAATTCTTTCATCAAGTAAATCTGAAAGATGATTCAAAGCCTCCTTTATCTTTCAGGGTATAGTACTTGGCTTAATTTAGATATATGAAGCAGATCACAGAACACTCCAGAGGAGAATTAGAAGGCTACTCAGGAGCCTGTCCGAATCTAAAATAGAATCAAAGCTAAACTGATTAAACTAACACAGCTGGAAAAAAATAGGCAGACTTTAAGGCACATAATATGTTAAGTTCAGGTGCTTCTTCAGATCCTAAGAAGGATGGCGTGCCTGACAGCTTAAGTCCACCTTCCAGCTGTATTAGATGATATAGTAAAATACATAACTTCACTCCACAAATCCTGTGTTTCTTAAGTCTTTAGATCAATACCACTACAATAAGACTAACTTCTAAGCCATTMTTGGCAAGTTCATTATTTAAAATCTGTTACTGGAGAAGATTTCATGCCTGTCTTAAATATGTCCCAGTGCTTAACAATTCTTCCTAAAAAAAAATGAAGTTTTGCTATTTCTAAACTCCTTCTTCTCCTTGCTGTTTTTATTTATTTATTTATTTATTTAGTATACAGATGGCAATGAAAAACAGTTTTACCCTAAGGAAATGCTTCACATATGTGAAGATTGTTATCATATCTCTTCACATTCTTCCCAGTAATATCTTCAGGCAGTAAAAATTCAGATATCTTCACCTTTTACTGCTAATCATTTTCAGAACTGTTGCAGCCAGTCTTGTTGTTATTTTCTGGATGTCCCTCAAATTGGATCACAACTGAATTGTCTCAGCATCTTGCCCAAAATTGGTACAATCTTGACACAAGGCTTAAGTAAAGCTTTATTAGAAGCTACAACTGGAACATTCTTTCATGAAAGCTAAGTTTTGATATATAGGGATAATTTGGACAAGTAGAGAGGAACTACGTGGTTTTCACTTCTTCTCTAAAGAACTGATTTTCTCAAGTAYTCTTTTAGGATGTAGGCTTCCAAATTTCATCTAAAACTGCAATAGATAGTCTCCTTGTCTTCCAAACGGTGCAGACTTTGAAGCAAACCTAGGATTTTAAAATACAGCTTGCCTAAATTTAATCTTTGCTATGCATCTGTCATGCTACTGTAAATTCAAGTCAAATTCCTAAAGAGTGGCCTAAAGAGTGCCTAAAAATCAAAGCTTAAAGGAAATACTATATTAAGATATCTCATGACTGGAACGTGGCCATGAATGTCTTTAGGCTTTTCAGGAAGGACAGGCCAGGAAGGCGAGGTAGCGGAGTTGCTCTTTACGTGAGAGAGCAGCTGGAATGCATAGAGCTCAGAATAGGAGAGGATGGAGTGCGAGTAGAGAGCCTGTGGGATTAAAGGGCAGGCCAACAGGGCGACACTTTAGTGGGAGTTTGCTACAGGCCTCCTGACCGGGGTGAGGAAGGGGACAAAGCCTTCTACAGGCAGCTGCAAGAAGCCTCTTGATCACAAGCCCTGGTCCTCCTGGGGGCGTTCAACCACCCTGATATCTGCTGGGATAATCACAGAGTGAGGAACAGACAGTCCAGGAGGTTCCTGCAGAAAATTGCAGACAACTTCTTGATGCTGGTGGTTGATTAGCCAACAAGGGGAGAGGCACTGCTAGARCTGATAGTAACAAACAAAGATGGTCTAGCGGGAAATGTGAGGGCTGGGGGCAGTCTTGGCTGCAGTGACAACAAGATGTTGGAATTCACAGTCCTGCGTGGAGGAAGCTGGGTGAGAAGTCAGATAGCCACCTTGGACTTCAAGAGAGCCAACTTTGACCTCTTCAGGGAGCTCCTTGGAGCAGTCCCTGGGTCRGGGTCCTAGAAGGGAAGGAGGTCCAGAAGAACTGGCTAATATTTAAGCATCACTTCCTCCAAGCTCAGTATCGATGCGTTCCTACAAGTCAAGTAAGGGGAGCAGGAGACCTGTGTGGAAGGACAAGTTGTTTCTGGGCAAACTTAATGAGAAAAAGAGAACATATGTAATGTGTGAGTAGGGTGAGAGCACATGGGAACAATATGGGCACATTGTCAGAGAATGCATGTTGCAACGAGCAAGGCCAAGGCCCATGCGGAATTAGAGTTAGCAAGAGATGTCAGGGACAACAGGAAGGGCTTCTATAAATATGTCAGCAGCAAGAGGAAGACTAGGGAAAATGTTGATCTGCTGCTGAACAGGGAGGGGACCTTGGTGACAGAGGATGCAGGGGAGGCAGAGTTACTAAATGCCTTCTTTGCCTCTCTCTTTGCTGTGAAGGCTGGTCCACAAGAGCTACAGAGCCCAGATGTAARAGAGAGAACCAGGAGAGAGGAAGACTTTCCACTGGTCGAGGAGGATTGGATTAGGGATTATTTAGGYAAGCTGGACATGCATAAATCTATGGGCTCGATTGTGATGCACCCAAGAGTGCTGAGGGAACTGGTGAGGGTTATTGCTCYGCTGCTCTTCCAACATCTTTGAGAGGTCATGGAGAGCAGGGGAGGTGCTGGAGGACTGGAAGAAACGAATGCTACTCCAGTCCTCAAAAAGGGCAAGAGAGAGGAGACATGAAACTACAGGCTGGTTGGCCTCACCTCTGTCCCTGGAAAGGTGATGGAGCAGCTCATCCTAGAGAGCATCTCTAGGCATGTGAAGGAAAAACAATGTGATCAGGAGAAGTCAGCATGGATTCACCAAGTGGAAGTCATGTCTGACAAACCTAACAGCCTTATATAATGGGATGACTGGTCAGATGGATGATGGAGAACCGTGGGTGTTGTCTACCTTGACTTCAGCAAGGCTTTCRACACCGTCTCCCATGATATCCTCATAGGGAAGCTCTGGAAGTGTGGACTGGACAGGTGGACAGTGAGGTAGATTGAGAACTGGCTGGATGGCAGAGCTCAGAGGGTGGTSRTAAAKGGRGCYGAGTCCAGTTGGAGGCCTGTGGCCAGTGGTGTTCCTCAGGGCTCAGTATTGGGCCCAGTGCTGTTCACCTTGTTCATCAATAACTTGGACAAGGGCACAGAGGACACTCTGAGCAAGTTTGTGGGTGATACCAAGCTGGGTGGAGTGGCCGACACTCCAGAGGGCTGTGCTGGCATTCAGAGGGACCTGGACAGGCTGGAGAGTTGGGCAGAGRGGAACCTCATGAGGTTCAACAAGGACAAGTGMAGGGTCCTGCCCCTGGGCAGGAATAACCCCAGGCATCAGTACGGATCAGGAGTTGACGTGCTGGAGAGCAGCTTTCATATTGAATATTCAATACTTTCATATTGAAAGTACGGTCCTGTCTTGTCATAGGCAAAATTTATAGACAGTGTCCACTTTTTTTGTCCTTTTTTTTTTTTTTTTGTCTGTATTTGTTACTCTATAACAACAGGCGACAGTTAAATAACATCTTGCTTTAAAAGTTCAGAGCGCAACTGCTTTGTTCTGGTGCTAGGGTTTCAGCAGGCTTTCACCACTAATTGATTCATACAAGTGCCTATTTTCCAGCAGAGGATGTCAGTGTCTGTATGTGCCAGATTTAAGCAGACATGTATATTCTTTGACAAAGCTCATTGTGATTTCTGTGCTGCCATGCTTCAGAAAATAACCTGCTTGTAAGGATTATTCTTGATTTAAAAAATCCACAAAACTAACAAATGTGAAGTTAATCTCATTGGCCACAAATAGTACCAAAAATGAATTCATAGCATTTTGCATTTTGTGCTCGAAGCTTTGTATCAATATGAGGCAATGAATCCTTACAATACAACAGGAAGCAAAGAAAATTTGCATCTTAGATGTGAGGAGAGCAAAGCACAGTGCAGAAGTAGGTAAAGGCCATTGAGTAAATCAGACACAGATTAAGAAATGTGGACTTTCGAATTCTCATCTCTGTTCTAAGACTTCCACATCATAATGGCTTATCGAGGACTCAGTTTAGATGTATTCAGTGCCTACCATTCCTCAAAGAAATATAGAAGACTGTACTCCTTGCTACTCAGGGAGTGGTAAGATAGAAAACAGTTCTTTTAAATTCTAGCTCTTTTAAATTCTAGTTCTTTTAAAYTCTTTTGAAAATTAGAAAGCAGCATTCTTTAGAAAGCAGCTCTCATTTAGAGAGGAAAGAGCCACCYGTAAGATGGAAGAAAGTTAGTGTGCTAGCATAGGAATGTAGGCTATTTTGTTACTTTAGTTTTCACTGTCTGTTTCTGCTTTTGACCTGGTAAGTTCTTTGCAGCATAGACCATTTTTCATCCTCTCTTTGTATGGTGCTTAATGCATCTTAACTTATGCATTTACAAGCTACCATAATAATTAAGAAATCTCCCAGCAACTTGTAGCATGAAGATATACATATAATTAATATGTGTAAGAAAGACTGCTATAAAAACCTGTGGAAAAAAAAAWWAAATAAATGA